ACACCATACGCGCGCGGACAATATACTGGGACGAGTTCGATATGAAGATTCATAGACTCGAATCGTCACATTCCGTCCACCGCTCCCCTCTGCGCAGGGCTGACCAGCGGGCGCCCATCAGCGAAGCACGCCAACGCATGCGTATGAGCGTACGCCTCACTCATCATCTGGGCGCCCGCTGCGTTAGCAGCCTGCAGGGTTACTGCGGCCACCTGCTCAGCCCCGCGCCAGCTGCCCGCGCCGATCTTTTTCTCCCACTCCAGTCCCCGCTCCAGATCGCCCCTGAGACCGCTCTCCTGCCCCTCCCTGGCCTTGCCCTTTCCTGCAACCACACCCGCCGGCGCGTCAGTTGGCGAGTCCTCCCCAAATGTCTGAGCTGCCACCGCCACCTCTCGCTCCACCCCTTTCTCAACCGCTTCCCTCGCCACCAACTCCATGGCCATCTCCGCATCCCGACTCGTGGCCATGACCAGCTCCTCCTGTCGCTCTTCTGCCTCCTGCTCCTCCAACTGCGCGAGCTGCCATGCCAACTCCTCATCTGTTTCCTTCTGTGGGGGCAGCGCTGACCTAGCTGCGCCTGCCGCCGAGGTCTCCGCAACGTCTCCGCCCTGCTGGAACCCGGCGCCGGGCCCGCGGTCCGCCACCACCGTAGCCCAGGGAACTGTCACCACCGGCCCGGCCCTGGGCTGGGTGCGCTCCCTTGCCAGCAGCGCCTTGACCGCGACCGGGGACAGGCCCCTTGGGACCGCCGCGGGTGCTTCTTGTACTGCAGAACTCGCCGCCACCGCCTGCGTGCCTGCAGGAGGCAACGCCGCCGTCAGGTTCCCGCCCGTCAGCTGAATGATTTCAGTGAGGCCCAGACCCGCCCGTCTGGCGAGCTCCAGCAGCACCCCAACCTCCACCTGCAGAAACCCACTGACCAACCCGCCTGCTCCCGCAGCTGCCCGGCTTTCGCCCAACACCACCGCGGGGTCTGCGGGGCTCATGATCGCAGCTGGAGGCGTACTGCGCTCTACCGCCCTGCTACCCGTTGCCCCCAACTCACCGGGGCGCGCCTGTGAATCCCTCTCCTGGGGCGACGTTCCGCCGGCGCCGGCCTTGAAACCCTTCGGGAGGCGGTTGAGCCCCTGCGGCGCGACGTGCCTCCCATGATCGGGGAGCTTGGCCAGACGCTCCTTTGCAGCAGCCTTATCGCGCCGCTCCTTGAGGGCGTTAACCGCCGCCAGGTCAACTGGGGGGGCTATCCTCGCTGTGCCCACCGCTCCGGCCGCCGTCTCCTCCCCGGCCTTGCTTGAGAACACCACCCCCTTTCCCAGGGGGGGTTTGGCCACACCACCCTTGACTTGCGCTGCCCTTGTTGCCTTCGCCTTCTACGCGCCCGCTCTTGTCCCCGCCGCTGCCAGGGGGAGCTCACCGCTGTCAGGGCCCCCGCACGGCAGCGCCACTGCCCCAAGCTTGTACTCTGCGTCGTCCCACTCCGTCTCGTCCCCGTCCCCGGGCCCTGCCTGAACCGCCGCCGCTGCCTGTGACATCGCCCTCCACTCCTGGAACGCCTAGAAGTCGGCGACGCTGATCGAGCTGGGCCCTGTCGACCCTGCCACGCTGACCCCGGCCGCTGCGGGGACCACCGGCATGCCCTCTTGGGGCACCACGCCGCCAGGTGGTCTGGCTCACCGCACACGAAACAAGCCCGAGACTGCCCCCTTCCCCCATCCCTGGGGCCCTGGACCTGGTTGCGGCCCGAGCTGTTGCGACGGGGAAAGGGGCACGTGTTCTTGTAATGCCCAACCTCGCCGCAGTTGTGACACGCCCCCGAGCCCCCCGTCAAGACTACCGCCGGCCCCACTGCCGCCAGCTGTGCGGGCGCTGCCTCCACCGCCACGTGCGCCGCCGCATGCGCCGTCCCCGTCCTGCCGCCCCACCTGGCTCTTGAGGGGTCCCCGGTTCTGGGCACCAGCTCTCGCGCGATGCGCAGGCGGGTGTTAATCGCCTGCATCCTGAGCGCTGCCTCGTAGGCCTCCTCCAGCGTGAACGCCCCCCCGGTCTGCTTGGTGGACGCCATCGCCTGGGAGCTGGTCTGTTCCGCCAGCCTCCGGTCCAGGCTGGTGATGAACTTCGTCACCAGCTCCTGGTCATCCTTTGGCTTCTCCAGGTCCTCCGCCAGCCCCTGGAGGCGGAACAGAAGCGACGGGAGCTCCTCCCCGGTCTCCCTTCTGAACGACACCCACTCCTGCGCCTTCCCTTCCTTGTGGTCCTCAAAGTGGCGCTTCAACGACTTGAGGAGCGCCGCCACCGGCTCCGTCTCTGTGCACCAGTCCTCGTACTCTCGCTCGTGCGCCAGCTTGGCTGGGTTGTCCAGGAACTCACCCAGGTATATGCAATATCTGCCCCTGAACTCCGGCCCCTCCACAGGCTTCCCGACATCCTTCTGCAACTTCTTGAACCGATCCTCTAGGCTCCCCTTTACCATAAGCTCGAACTGCTTGATCGTAAGACCTTCCCCCTTCTTGCCCGAGAACCGCAACTTTCCGTCTCCCGACGCCATCCACGACTCCGAGCTCTTCCTCCCACCAACCAACTGCCCACTCTACCGCGCTTGGGAACTCCGCTCCTTCCCCTAGCTCCTCCTCCCCTTCCTCCTTGGGTTCAGCCGCTTCTACTACCGCCAAGTACCGCGCCGCAATTGGCCCCGTCGTCTCCACTGGCATCAAACCGCCCCTCTCCCTCAATCCAGCTCGTCTATGCTACGGTTGGGGTCCGCCTCCTTGGCCGCCTGCTCCTCCCGGTAGGCCTGCAGCCGCCTGTCCAGCTCGCGCAGCTCCGCCAGCACCGGGTCTTCCGGCTCCTCCTCCTTTGCCTTCCCCGTCTCCTGTGCACGCTGGGCCGCCCTTGCTTCTGCCACTTGCTTCTCAATCCGGGCCCTGCGCTCCTGCCTGGCCTCGGTCTTGGCCTGGCGCTTCGCCGCCGCACGCTCCCTCTCCTGCTGCTCCTGAGCCTCAAGGTGATCCCGCACCAGCTTCTGAGAGCTCTCCCACTGGGACACGCGCTCAGCCAGGGGCTTGTGCTGGTCACAGATCCGGCAGCGGGTCAGGCAGCCGTTCACCAGGTGCGGCAGGTGCTCCTCAAGGACGACCTTCCTTCCGACGCCCGCTGCGCCGGTGGGGTTGTTGGCGACGTGGCTCGCCCACAGCTTGTCCCTCGGGACGTCCGGGTGCTTCTCCTCCAACCGGTGCCACTCCTGGAGGAAGTCCTGCACCTCCCCTAGCACTTCAACCACCTTCGGGTCCCGGTCCACCTCGCGCTGCAAGCTGTTCCTTAACTCGATCACCTCCTTCTCTTGCTTCACCCGGTGACGCCTAAGCTTGCTAAGCTCCTCGTGCTTCGCCGCCTCCTTCGCCCACCAGTTACCCCTGCGCTTGAGCTCTTCCGACTCCTCGAGGATGCGCCGCCTGGTCTCCTCCTCCTCGCGCTGCGCCTTTTCCTGCTCCTTCTTCTTCCTACACGCCTCTGCCTACGCAACCCACCCCACGCACCAGCTGTCCGATGCCTTTCCTCCTTTCTCCGCTCTCTCCGGCTCCGGCTTTGGCGGCTCCGGCTCGTCCTTGTCACATATGATGCAGGGCGTGAGGCACGCTGGCTTCACGTGCGGCCGGTGATGCAGGGGGTTCGCTTTCACCTCAAACAGCGCCGCCTCCGCCTGGTTGTTGGCCACAAAGTTGACCCACAGCTTCTCCTCCGGCAGCCAGGAAATCTCGTCGTCCCACCTGAACTCGTTCCACCGCCGGATGAAGTCCTGCGCCACCTCTAGTGACGCAAGGTCCAGCCGCCTGAGCCTCTCCGCACACCTCTGCAGCACGTCTCCCATAAACGGCACCGTTACCGCCGACGAGGCTATGAGCTACACCACCCGCACCCCTACCGGTTCTCCTGGGACACGGCCACTGCCTGCTCCCGACCCTAGGTCCTCACTCGAGCCGCGTCACGCTACCGCTGCTCCGCACCACTCACTCCCGGGACCACCCAGAAGCTCCTGAGTCTACCGCCCCGCACACTTCCTGACTGCGCTCTGCTGGAGGCGCACTCCCGAACACCCTCTGACGCACGACGCTGCGCCACTCCTACGCCCACTGGCCTCACACACACCCCAATGCAGCTCCGAGTGATTCTTTCTTCTGTAATGGTAGCCTCCGCTCACCGCACACCACAGAACTCAAAGCCGCATGCGCATCCCAATTCACACTTCACATGTAACACCACACATGGTAACCAAGTTGAGAATGACTTCTGGCCATCGTACAGTTTGCATGAGCTCAAGAATGCCGCCCCATATCAAACTTTTGACTGAACAGAAGAAAGAATGAAGCCTAGCTTCACTTCTTTCTTCTTCACTGTCTCACATGATGCACTGGGCTACAGCCTAGCCTAGTCTCGGATTTCTGCCTACTCTAGTTAGTCACCACTCAACATAAAGTGCCGGACATGATTCCGACTCGACACAATCCAGCCTGACACCAAACCCACTAGCGGCGGAAGTCAAGCATACCTGCAACCGTCAATGGTGTACATTGCACTTCCTGACAATGAGGCAGCTAGCTCGAAAAGATACAGTAAGCTTGACCAACGAATCCCACATGCAGCTCGCACGGGCGACTGACTGGAGCCAAGTGACCATGTTGGGTGCCATGCCATGATCTGTTGACCACATGTGAATTATCAAATATGGACCTCAAATCCTGCAGACGCACATTTTGTCATCTCAAACCTGAACATATTTCTTGGACTAGATTCATCTGAACTTACAAAACTTAACGAGTCCTACGAACAAAGCAGATATATCTCAGATTGCAGTCGACCGTCTAACTAATCGGTGAACAAGTCCGAATATGTCATAATTACACTCTTTTTTCGTCACGAATTCGCAGGTGTTGCAAACAATACACTGAGCGGCGGTAGAACTCCTCAGAAAACGCTTGCAGGAGTCGACAAACGCGGGTCACGACCCTTGTCTCGCAACATTCATGAGATGGGCGGAGGACGGCACACCAAAGGGTGTCTGACACACAGCGGGTCGGCCCTGCCTTCCGGAGCTAGAGCACAACTTTCTGCACCCCCGTCACCTTCACGCCGCACTTTGGGCAGTCACCTTTCTCCTTGAGGTTCTGCGACGCGCACCCATAGCAGAAATTGAAGTGCCCGCACGGGCTGAACAGGGCTTCCCGTGGGCTCTCACCGCACACCATGCAGAGCGCCGAGCCGTCCCTCCTCGGACGCCCATTCACACCGTTCTCTCCGTTCCCAACGCGGCGCGGCGCATCATTTAAATCCTCACTGTGCCCCCTCTTTCCATTGGGCCTGTTATCCACCCCCCCGTCCAAAGACCCCTTGCCCCCCTTCCTTTTAACCCCCGGCTTCTCCCCCTCCGCGTCTGAATCCGACTCGCTCTCACCCCCCTTACTCCTGTGGCCCGAATCAGGCCGCGGCCGTAACTCCCACTTCCCCCCGCCCCCTTTTCCGAGCGGCGGCTTTCCCCGCCTGTTTCTAGCCAACCCGGCATCCCCGTCCTCTTCCAACAACAGCCCCCCGCTGACGTCATCGCTCCCGTTCGCCCGCCGGCCCTGCCGCCGACGCACCGCCACCTCGCCGCTTTCTAAACTCAGCGACGCGTCCTGCTCCCCATCGCCGTTGGCCAATCGCTCCACCTCCAAAACCCTCGCTAAACCCCGCTGTAGCCGCCCGTCCCCCCCGCGGCGCTCGCCCGGCGCTTCTTCCTTCTTTGCCGCGCCCAGCAACCCTTCAAGCTCGGTCCTCCTCCGTTTCGGTGGGGCCGCCTTGGGTGACGGCTCCCCGGCATCGAACCCCCCGTTCGCGGCCTCCAAAACCCGCGCCAAACCCCGCTGCATGCGCCCCTCCTTTCGGACGTCTCTCTCCAGCGCCTCCTCCTTTCGGACAGCTGGCGCCTCCTCATCCCCAACACCTGTCACCTCTTTTGCGACACCTGTCACCTCTTCCTTTTGAGCATCTGACGCCTCCTCCTTTCGCAAGCCTCCTTCCTCTCCAACGTCCGAACCGCCCCCACGCCTCCGCTTCCCGCTCGGCGAATCGTTGGCCGCCACGTCACCCTCGTCCGAAAGCGCGCGCCACCGCACGGGCTGACCGGACCGCCGCTTAGGGGACGTTTCCGTCAGCTCTTCGATCCACCGCTTCTTAGGGGGCTTGGATTTCTCCTCTGTGGCAAGTTCCAGCTGTCGCGCGGCGGCAGGAGCGTGTTCCCCTGACCTCGTGGCAACGCCCCCGGCGATGAGACCGTTGGCGGTTGCGCTGTCGAGAAACGGGGGGCCGCCGTTGCCATGCGCGAGCGGGGTCGGGTTCGGGACGGTGCGCGTTGTGCGCTTGCGGGTGTTCTGTGGCCGATAGCGAACAGCTTCAGTTAAGGCTTCTAAGACAACTGTGAGTAGATTTCCGTCCCTTCCATGAATACTCGCGTCCTTCAACGACAACGATGGCAGATCTTATGCTGACACATTACAGAAGCGCCCCTGACGAAACCGGTCTAGTCCGGAACGGAATAGTGCAGAGGAACTGGCTTTACCGGACATGATTCGCAATGAACAACTCTCGATCAGAGGCAAATTCGTTACGATTCGTATCGTCGTAAGAGATCCGGATTCTGCGAAACAGTCACAAAGGCGGTGTGCACTTGGTACGGTCGGCAGGAAAGAATTGCTGAAGTGACCCAAGGTGAGACCTTTGGTTGCTTGAACGCCTCGGCTCGCACACAGAGCCAACGTAGGATTTTGTGTAAGGTTACGGGCCTCGCTTGTGAGAAAGATCTGTACCTTAAGTCTGCGAAATGTCTAGTGACTATTGTGGTACGTAGACGTCGTGCGTTATAGCGAAGCCTCGAGCAAAGACCAGAGGGAAGCTTTGCAGGACGTAGCTCCATAAAACATGCTCACGCAAGCGTGCATAGAACTGCCAATTACGTCCTACTATCTGTCCGCCATTCCGCATAGCACCGAAACGCGGATCAAAACTCACGAGCTTTCACGATTAAGTTGCCTCTGGTTTCATAAACGAGCACAATTTCGATTCCGCCATACCAGCTCGCTTACCTTCGGCGTCGGAGTTGGATCCGGCTTCACTTTCCCGGGCTTCCTTCCTTTGCCGACGCTGGTTCCCGTTCCCCCCTCGTCTTCCCCCCCGTCCGTACTCGGGGTGCCCCGCATTTTGCCTGAGGGATCCCCCTTAAAACGAGCGACCAGGTTGTCCCACTTATGCCGCATTGTCGCCCAATAAACACCGCACCGGTTGCAAAGAGTCTTTGGCCCGTCGGGACCCGTGCGCCTGCAGGAGAACCGAGGCACTTGTAAGAGGCTGATTGCAGGAGGTAGGGACACAATTCTTTGTTGTTCGACACGGCATATGTAAATACTTGAGTGGACCCCCAGGTACACCAAAAGGTTCACAACCAAGCCGCGACTTCCAAGTTTGAAAAGTTGGCATACTTTCAGTAAAAAGAATGCATTCCAGTTGCTTTTTATGCTGCACAGAAGACAATCTCCCCAGCTTAACAACGAAGAGCAGTCTATTACCAAAAAACGGCTGAGTATAAAGCTTACAGATTTCAGGCAAGCTGAAACCTGTCCTCCTGCAGTTTAGCACCAGCACACCTAAGAACCTCCAAACTGACCCCATCCAACAAATAGCAGCCGCCACAATCTCAGCAGGATCAGGAGATCATCAGATGAACCCCGAAAAAGCGACCACCGATTGTCTTTCCCACTCACCATCTCGGAGATTTTTGCAAGCTGCACACTGCACACTCCCGCTTGCCCTCAGGGGCACTCCGAGGAACCGTACTGGGGGTAGCCTGCACCGAGTCCGGCCCACTTCTTGACATTATGGGGGTGCGGGGGTTCGGAGTCCTCGGGTCGGGGGTCTCAATCCCCAGCTCTTTCCACCTGGTAGGCGCACCCCCCCTGAGCGAGACCGCCGGAATTGTCTGCACCACGCCGCCGTCTGACGACTCTCCCTCGTTTTGGGGGGGAGGTTGCGAGGTCTCGGGGGGAGATTGGCGCTCCAATTCTGCCGCAAGGATGGCGAGGCGTGTGTTCTGCCTCATGTTTGGCTGGCTCTAGCGGAGGCAGGGGGGAGGGGACGGGGGATTCTTCGCCTCCGTTTTGGCAGACATGGGGCGCGATCTGGCGGCTGGTTCTGTTGAGTCCATCTGCAAATGGGGAGGTAGATGACCCGGTTAGAACCTGGCAAAAATCCTGATTCATACTCTTTTGTTGAGGATCCACTAAATGAACTTCCTGACTTAGTCAAGCCAGTGGTTTTAGAAGGTCCCTTTCTATACTACTACTTCCTCTCATTTCTTGGACTCTTTGGAACCTAGGCCATCATCCATGGTCTCATTTGTCTCACTTGTGTGCAGAAATCAGTTCAAGCAAGAAGGGCTGACTAGAACGTCATTGCAGGCAAAGCTCTGCTCCGAGGCCAATAAGCTTTCTTTATTCTCAGCCTCTCACGACTTCCTCACACCGTAGAGAAGTTTGACACACAGAGAGACTCAGATGATAATCCTTCAAGAATAGTCGTGACCAGACGCTTATCTGTTTGTGTTCAACGGAACAAAGAAAAGCTCGCAGACATTGGCTTAGCGTTGTTGAGAAGTTCTCAACACTCATTTCCAAATCGCAGGGACCGCAGACAACCAATTGAAGTCCATTCCAATGATGAGTCAGATTGATCAGTCCCATATTTGTAGGCCATGAACAAGCATCAGCAAAATGCCTTCAAGACAGATTCATTTACAATTCAGCAAAACGGAATGAGCGCAACCCTGATTGACTCATTCTTGCTATTTGTAAAACTATAACAGGGCTCCCACCGCTCAATTGCGGAGTTCAGGCGGCAACGTATTCCTTCCACCAAAGATGGCCCCGGCAAAATGAGCTGAATGTTGCCGGACCTTATGTTGAGACGCCATCCAAGAATGTAGGTAGCTGTTGCATCATAGGTGGAAACGAGAAACCCTGGTAAAGGACGATCCCGGGTGAGAACCAATTCTGCATAAAATCAGATTTGACGGAACTGCAAGCAGGCCAATTGCGAAGTAGCCGGAGCAGAGAATTGTAGTGCAAGCAGGAGCTTCTACTTTCTTCCACTTCAGCCACTGGAAACAAGCCAGACATCCTGGCTCTTTGCCCGTTATCGAAGGCATTGCTCATACTTGGAAGCATAGCTACGACTTGACGATGTGAGACTGTCAAAAGAGGCATACGCCGGAAGCACTGCTACATCTCCTTCCTTGTAAGCAATCCAGGCCGACCGTAGGATGGTGTCTGCTGAGCTCAGCAGCAAACATTGCAAACAAGGGGAGTCCTTTCAATGAAAACAGCCAAAAGCAAAGACCTGCACCAAGCACGAATCAACCAAGGGGAATTCAGGAGCAGAGTTCTATCCGCAGCAGGACGGAAGCATATACCGAAAAGGGATGACAAGACCAGGCACCCTGTAACTTTACCAAGTGCCAAGGAGACACCGAGAGAGCTCAGGACTCACACATTGGCCACAAACATTCTAGCAGATCAAGCACTGGGACACAGTCTTGACTATCCAACTGTTGGAAGAGATGAGAGCTGAACAGATCACGAGCAGCCGTTCCCGGAGCGCTGAAAGGTGGCATGCAAAGACGCACAGAGGGCTGGATGTGCAGATTGCAATTAGATGACCACAACAGATACAATGAAATTCTGCGAGACTGCCCCGTCAACAAGAACCGGTGAAGGAACAGGGAACAATCTCAAAGAGAGGTTAGACAGAATAAGAGGCAGGCATGGAGACCGACGCTGCGAGCAGAGGAACGAATGGGACTGAGAAAGACTGAGCAATTCGTCATGAGCATCCACGTTCACAATAAACCCTCAAGAGTTACCAACTGCTCAGATGAAAGGCGAATGATGCGTCTGCTCAGACCTGCTCCAAGAATGCAATGTACACCAGCACATTGCACATGCGTGACGGGACAGATCCAGATGTACCAGGACTGCTGGAATTGATGAAGGTGTCAACCCTATGGTTCTTAGAGCCCGCACACATCACCGTGGGTAGATGACAACAGAGGCGGTGATGCTTGTCAGAAAGAAGGGCAGAATCTTGACGGGGCGCTTGCATTGAGCACCTTCTGTTGTGATAAAGGTAAAAGTACGGCAAAGCTACCAGCCTTCATTTCGATTGAAGACTGCTTAGTGTATGGCCAGTGTCCTGCAGACAATCTGCTGAAGAAAGCAAAGGCACCAGCATGGGGGAAACCCCAACCAATACCTAAATACTGCAGGGATGCACTCGTTGCCCTTCCGACCGGGAAGCCGACATGCTGGGCAAGTACAGTTCAACAAGACACGACAATGTCTGCAAAAGATCTGAGCAAGCGCAAGTTTACCCAACCCGTTCCTCAAGCCAATGCTCCACTGGTCACGCATCAGGATTCTGCTCAAAAGCATTACTTGGATCCAGAGCTTCCAAAGGTCACTGCATGGAAACAGCAGATACAGCAGTTTCAGACTTTTCACTTTATCTGGGGCATGGAAACGCTTTGCATTAGTGTTAACTCACCGATTGCAGTCTGGTGCAGCTACAGGGGGCAGAGCGCTGCCGTTGGATTGGCTGCCCCCATCAATTGGAGTCAGGCAAGATCTTTGATGGTCCCAAACCTCTGGTGAAAAGCAAATGCACCGCCGCAGGGGACGCCTCTGACCGGCAAGTGCCCCCCGCCCTCCCAGGGGAGCAGTGAAGGGTTGGGGAGCTCCAAGGAAGAAAAGGAAGCCTCGCAACAGCTCAGGAAGGGAGGGACGGCTCAACTTCAGCCGTTGCTGATTGGAAATTGGACCTCTCCGACATTTTCTGTGCGCCGCACATGCAGTGCGCTGGCCAAGATCGACGGGGAGCCATTCGCTGCACCCTGCAGAAGGTGCGAAGTACGCACCGGGCGCGTTCACACGACGTCTTGCGACGGCAAATCTTGTCCGCTCCGCACGCGAAAATTATCCGCTCACGGGGCGAATTGGTACTCATCGCGAAAAGTGTGAAAACCTAGACTGTCCTGACCTGCTCGCGTAAGCACGACAGCGCGCGCGCGGCGAGCAGCTGCGTTACGCTCGTTCGTAACACGGTGCAGGCAGGAGCAAATAGCTCTACGCACGAGATGGTGACGTAACGCCTGTTGACTGCTGTTGAAGTCAAACGGGGCCTTGTGCCGGCAAGATCTGTCACAATTCTGACGGTGATACCGGCATCAAGGTTGCCACGCGCTTCCAAACAGGGCCCTGAAAGTAGGCGTTCAAGAAAGGAGGAAGACGAACTTTCAAATCGTTCGTTCGTCTTCCTGAATCCTAGCTGGTGCGTCAGACTTGGCCTGCGCTGGTGTGCATTGTGCGGTGTCATCCCTATGATTGGCTGGCCGCCTTCCAGGCATGCATTACGCGAAGGATGCTTTCTTGATGGGTATCTGGATCAAGAGAGAACATGCAGGCGGCAATTCCTGCGGACGCGTTTGTCATTGGTATGGCTAGACTTGACAATTAACATTCTGCAGCCAATGACCCCTCCTCCTGGAAGATAGGCTGGGACCCTTCCGCAGTACATGCTGACATGTCCTTTATAGCCAAAGAATTGAATCGAGGCAGTTGGGTACACAAATGAGAAATAGGGTTTAGACGCTGCTGGTCACTTCGACCCAGCCCGTTGGGTGTGTTTTCAGGGGGCTGAATTCAGTCAGGAAAGGGGTTTGTGATATGCCCCCGGCCATGGCGATGTCTCTCTCTATCGATGTTGGGTCAGACCCCGGACTCAGCAATGGGGAAGCGACGCCCGGGAAGATGAAAAGCCCTAGAGATCTGGAGGAGATGACTCCGAATGGGTCCCGCATCAGCCTGAATGGGGGCTCAGAGTTGTCGGATGAGAGCGAACTTGAAGTCACTCCGTAAGTTGAACCCTAATTTGCCTCCCACATCACAGCAAACTCTGCTGAGTCCTGACACTTACGTTGGGGCTCTGAACTTTCTTGAATTCTGGCAGTTGAAAGCGGATCCTTGTTCATTCTGCAAGAATGATATGACTGCTTGCTTGACAATTGTCGCTTCTTTGAACTCCAAAGCCTCCCCATGGCGTGCTGTCGATGCTTCTTCTGGTTCCTACAAACTAGGGCACCTAGTTCTGTTCAAGGAGCAGTACAACTTACAATAGATAAGATGCTCCCCTCAATACTCTTGTTTTTGGTCAATTGTTTGTTGGATTTCCCTTTCTTCAAAGAGATGATTCAACCACGTTGTACAGTCGCTTTTGTATCATTGACGTGACGACTTTCAATAGCCTGTGCAAGGGGCACTTTCTGAGATTGCTGTCAGGCCCTCTGGCTCAAAATCATTCGCCTGACATTGAAACGGCAGCATTTCGAGTGCATCCTGTGTCTATCGGTTGAAAGTCGGGCTTCTTCAAGAAGTACACGTGTTGAAATAGCATTAGCAGGCTCTGACGACCCTCAAAGACCCTTGTGGTACCTCATGGTGCTGGCAAACTCAACTGAAGCCCAAAGTCTGTAGTCAGATTGCCAGCATTGACAGGTGGCATTACATGTTTCGCAACGGTGTGTTAAAGCAGGGACTTGCTTGCGTGTGGAGCAGTCTCACAGTGCCTTTTACCTTCGCTTGTTCCTTTTCGGCTTTTTCGGAAGCTCTGCTTCTTTGGGAGTATTCCTTCAAGCTTCGAAAGAGCAGTACATGAACTAGAAAGTGGCAATCGACAGATCTCTGGATAGTGGCTTTTTGCCGAGCCCCTTGGTGGCCCTTCCACTGGCCTCGACATTCTCGCATGGAACGAGGATTTGTGGAAAACGATGGCTTAAACCTGCTCTGGGTCGGGTAGCATGGTTGTCCCATCTTTCAAGGGTAACCTGTCCTCGGAAGTTGATAATACTGGATCCTGAGTTGTGCGTTCATGGCTGTGAACCAGACTTTGCAAGTTCTGGGTTGTTGGGCCCACGTCGCGGATTGCACGCCCTTCTTGGCGCCAGCTTTTTTTAGAATTCAGTTGAAAGCACGGTGATGACCATTCTTGAGAACCTGGTCTGCGAGCTCTCTCAAATCACTTTCCGTTTTTGAAACATGGCTAAATATCATTGGCAGTTACAGCACGAAGGGGCAGCACTCACTACAAGGTCACATCTAACAACACCTCTATTGATCGACAACAAAAGGGACAAAAGTTTGCACCAGTCAGTGCCTCAATTGGAACACAGGGGCAAATCTTTTTTACGAGTCTTTCTGAAGGTTTATCCGAAAAGCGACCGGCTTGGTAGCCGCATGGTTTCACATCTTCGTGGACTCTCAGAACGCAAGGTGTACAGAAGTTCCTCCAACAAGCATGGCCCCCAAGAGGAAGCACCGTTCTTCTTAAGAGAATTGAACACGGTTTTTGCTCTCCGCTTCAGAATTGCGAGCCGGAGGGACTCGAACAACGCAGACGAGGACAGCGATGTTGAGGAAAAGACGATCGACAGCTCTCAGTACGCGTCGCCGCAGAGGGGCACCTTCACATCGGCCGCCGCTGCCGAGGTCACGAACTTGCCGATCCTGGAAAAGTTCCAGGTGAGACACCTTTATACTGTGCCATGCGTTCAGAAATGTTGAGAACCAAAGGTGTCGTCCTGGTGTTTTGTCAGTCCACTTTGCGACTTCCTTTTCTGAACAGCTGTCGCTTCCTTAAGGAGCACAACGGTGACAGCTGCTTCTTTTCAAGGTAAATCAACGTTACTTCTTTTCCGCCCGGCAAGTACACTGGCCTCCACATTGTCGGCATGACGAGGTCAAGGAGGCAATTGAGCTTGAGATTCTTTTCTCTTTCTATCCTAATTCGAAAAGGAAACAAGCTAGAAAAGCATACAGTCCTGGCACGATTGAAATAGGCGCGAAATTGAACACCTTCAATCAATGCAGGTGGAGGCGTTTTTACGGCTTCTTCAGAAGCAAGGGGGCCGGAGGTCGCTGTTCAGCCGCAAGAAGGACCCGTCGAGCAATGCCGCTTTTACCGTGGAGGACATGCTGTCTTTCTCAAAGGTGAGCGTCAAAGAACTGCTGATAAACGACATCGAAGAAGAAACGACGAGGGTCAGAACATAGTTTGGATTGACCCCAACCCCTCTCCATCTACCACGCCCTTCTAGGATATCGTCCCTGTGTTCTTGGCACTTCTGCACAGCTATCTTTGGTTGTCGTCAGCTGATCAAAGCCAGAACGACGAATTGCCAGCTGTCAGCCGGGTGCGTTTCGTCAAATAAGATCGAACAGCTGATTGACAGCTGTTGCTCTACCTGCTCTCGGCTGGACAGCTTGACCTGCAGCTGTCAAAATGCATATTGCACGCTGTAAGCAGCGGGATAGGTTTTCAAGCAGCTCCAATTCCCGCCTGGCTTAGGTACGCAGTAGATGTAATTGTCAATCGTCTTGTGTTTCTCGTTCTGTCCTTTTTGCTCGCCCTCGCCCTGCTCACAACTCCTGTAAAGATCCGTCACATCCGGCCACCACAACCCGCAGCTGTTCCAAACCCTTCGCTGCCCCTCCCCCTGCAGGACCCAATCCCGACGTCGCTAACTAGGATGAGCAGCGACTTGGCGAGTCGCGCGGTCAAGATGTTCCTGATCATCCTCAAGTACATCGGGCAGGGCGGGGCTGACCTCACGGAAGCAGAGCGCACGCAGCTGGTGCTCAAGCTGTACAAGCACACGCTGCGCCGCCTGGAGCTGCGCGATGAGCTGTTCGCGCAGCTCACGAAGCAGCTGCGGAACAACCCCCACCGGTAAGGCTCGCGTTTCTTTTATGTCTCGGCTTTTTGAAAATATGTGGGAAGCATGTTCGGGTCTTCCGACGAATTCGGAAGCCTTAGGGTTTCTCGTGAGTCGTAAAAGTACACGCTGCGACGCTTGGAGTAAAGCAAAACGCGTTCTGCGCGGCCCACGGAGCCACTGCGGAACAACCCGCACAGTGCTTTGAAGAGTTGTTGCTCTCGTAAGTTCAGTTTGTCAGTGGGCCAAGATCTTGGGAGATCTGAAAGGTAGAGCTTGCATGAGCTGCGTAACACACGGAGCTACGCAAAGAGCTATTCACGCAGCTCACGCAGCAACTGAAAGGCTCACCCCACCAGTAAGCTTTGCGTACCTAAGTGCCGTTCGGCTCGTCTCATGGATCTAAGAATCTTCGGGTTTCGAGACTGCCGAAAAGGCTTAGGGTCTCGTCGTGAGCTGTGCGACCACACGCTGAGGCGCCTGGAGCTGCGCAACGGGCTCTTGGTGCAGCGCACAGAAGGGTTGCGGAACAATCCCGATGCGTATCTACTGCCTTGAAATATCAGGTTTATTAAGCGTCTAGCGTCCTCATGCGTAGTCTCAATGTTGGCCTCGAAGAACAGATTCCTTTTGCAGTCCGCTGGCTCCACGTCCCAACCTCATGCAGGCTAAGTTCACTGCGTGCCTAGGAACTTCTCCACCTCGTCGCTGCCTCCTAGACCCAGGAACGGATTCGCTTTTCTGCTTAGCCCCGTGAATACTTCGTCTCTTCGGGGAATGACAAATTGGGGATCGACCCCAATATCTCCGGTGCACGCTCTCTTCTTTGCGTGCCTGGGTGCTCCTCAACTTATTGCCGCTTCATGGCTCCCGGAATGAACCCCATTCCCCTTCGCTCAGCGCCGTCACATTCTTCGTTTGTTCAGACGATGACAATCCTTCATTCCTTGGGTGCAGGCTCTCCTCCCTGCGCGCATGGGAGCTCCTCAACCTCATCGGCGCCGCCATGCCCCCCGGGAAGGAGCTCGCGGGTTACATCTCCGAGTTTGTCCACGAGCACGCGCACGACCAGAACCTTGACCCCGAGATCCGGACGGCGGCGCTTGCCACGTGGCAGACCCTGAAGCGCTCCGTCAAGGCGGGGCCCCGAAAGGTCGTGCCGACGGCGGAAGAGGTCGATGCGCTCAAGGTCAGTTTTAGGAGTTGCAGTTCAAGCTCTGGGGCCTTCAAAATGGAGACACTTTGGGACAAATCATGTGTGTGCGGGTGGGTTTCGGCAGCTCACTCCCAAGTTGGTTGTTCTTTGCCTCGCCACCTTCATTCAGGTCCGCCAGGTTGGTTCCCAAGGAAGTGAATGGATGGGATTCGCGGCTTCAAGTTGGGTAAACACAGTCGGCCGGTATGCCCTGCAAATCTAATGGGTCATAATTCACAAGTGCCTGCCGACCGACTGTCCCGCATACTCCCATAGTCCAGGTACGATACAGTCCCCGAGGAAATTCATGTGACAAACCTAAACCTAAACCGACTTATACACCCGCTCCGACACCCGTACCCACCGTAATCCCCGAAGTAACCCCACCCGTTCGCCGGGTTATGACCATATCCTACCTAGGACTATAGACTTAAACTAAAGGTCTGTCTGTCCCGCAGGAGCGGAAGCACCTGACGACCATCGCCTTCTTCCTGGACGACACGTTCGAGGAGCTGACGTACGACATGACGACCACCGTCGCGGAGGCTGTCGAGGAGCTCGCGGGGATCATCCGTCTGAAGCAATTCCACACTTTTTCGCTCTTCGAGTCGCGTCGGGTGATCTCGGCCGGGAAGGCGGCGGAGCCCTCACAAGGTCAGTGATTGTTATGTAGCGAAGCTTCCTTTGAAGCGGTCCGAAACGCTCTTATACTGGTGGAGAGGTTATTGCTAGACGGTTCTAAATCTTGCTCGGTTATCTCGGCCGGGAAGGCGGCGGAGCCCTCGCAAGGTGAGCGGCGAGACTGGTCCGTTCACACCCTTCCTCTTTGGCGGTTTTCGAGTGAGGCGGATTGAGGCCGGATACGTTCTTACATTAGTGAGCAAGAGGACACGTGTGTGTTATCGGTTGCGTCTTTGAAAGGAATGGAGCTCTCCTGGATTGAGGAGCGCCAGCTGCTTTTGGCACAAATGTTGCTAATGAGGCACCGTTTGTGCGCTCTGGAAGCTGTGTTCTGTCCTGTTCGCTCTTCAAGTCCCGCAACGTGATTGCAGCCGGGAAGGGGGCAGTGCCCCTCACTCTGAGCGGCAAGACTGGTCCGTTCGTAGCCTTCCTCCGAGCAATAGCTGCTGTCTGTGTTGTGGGATGAGATGGCTTTTAATGCCAAAGCTGTCGCGCGTCTGAAGTGCCTCCCGTTGAGATGCTCACGTGATTCTCATAACAACGATCTTGGAAAAAGACTCTTATCTTCAGAAACACGCTGCTTGATTGAAAGGTGGCACTCGACGTCGTCGTTTTTGCTTCGAAGTTTTCTAGAATGTGAGGTTTTCCCGAGAGATGTGCGGAACTGGCCAACCCGTCAGCCAGCTCCTTCAAAGCTTATCAGCAATAGGCGGTTTTCGTCAGCATCGGCCCGGTATCAAATTCCACCATCTGAGACTGAAGACTGAAGCGTATTTCCGCAGACGAGCACATTTGCCTGGACGAGAACAAGTACGTCGGTGACCTGGTTGCTGAGTTCCGGGCAGCCAAAGAGAAGTCGAAAGGCGGGGAGATGATCCAGTGCAAGCTGGTGTTCAAGAAGCGGCTGTTTCGGGAAACGGATGAGGCGATCACGGACTCCGTCTTCGTCCAGCTGTCGTTCGTCCAGGTGAGACACGTGGCCTTATGTGGTGCGTCCGAGGGTGCTGCTTGAAAGGAGTTGAGAGGATCGTGCTGAATTGCTACCCTTCACTCATAGGAAGAAAGACGCGTTTTAAGAAGGCGATGCTCGTCAGTCCCTTTGTGGCCCAGTCGAGACGTCTTCAAAACGGTTTGATGCGGGTTTCCGGCGATCAACGACGACGTACTAATGATGAACTATACAAGAGTCTACGAGAAATCTGAGAGTAAACGGACCTTAATAGAACTCCCAGCAAGCTTCAAGCTTGAACCCGAAAGCTCCTGCCTTCTCCAAGCCCAGCCTTACTGCCTGCTCCGTATGTGGAGACAAACCCGTTCTTTCCCTCTTTTTGAAACCTCAAAAACCCTAGAATACGAAAACCCTAATTGTGTATACCTTTGATTTCTCCAGGCCCAGCACGACTACCTGCTTGGCAATTATCCGGTGGGGCGGGAGGACGCCGCACAACTGTCAGCGCTTCAGATCCTTGCGGAGATGGGCCCGCACCCCAACCCCGAGTCCTCATGGTCAGCTCCTACACCTTCGTCCGCTCGCTTCTTCGACAAATGTTGCTTGCTCTCTTGTGTTGACCGTATGTACGTTGATCTCCTTTTGCTGGGTTTTTTGCATTCTGCGACTGGCCGGACTTTTACGAGCTTTCCCCATGATTCAGCACACGTTTCGGCACACCGGCTCACTTTTTCTGATGTGAAGCTTGAGCTTAGAGTTCCAAGCGCACAAAACATTATAGTTCAACAGTTTGCCAACAAGCGGGGTAGTTTTTCCTTACCTGTGTGCCCTTCTTCATCCCTCTCCAAGACGTATTTCCATAGGCCGTAGTCTCGAGCTACATGCTTCGAACCGCTTATTTCCGCCCAAGATATACAAGCAGCGAGACTTGACACTACGGATTGGACTCCTGCAGGGACTGGGGCTTGATGGTCGACCGGTGTCTACCTCGCCAGGTGCTCCTGACCCGGCCCAAGAAGGAGTGGGAGACTGACGTGCTGACTCGATTCAAGGGGATGGTAAGCCTTACGCTTTGAGGAGGCCTCCTTTGGAAAAAGACAAAGACCCTTTATTAGACTGGCTGAAAGGATAGATCAGTGATCTTCAAACCTAGGGTTTGTGACAGGCCCCGTACTTGCTTCTCTGTGCGAAGTACCTTGGCAAGGATGAGCGCGGCTGTTATTTCTCGTCAGTCTACGGATCGGCTCCATACTCAAAACGAGTTGCTGGACTACCAAGCAGCTGGGAAATCTGTCGCAAGAAGGAACCAAAGCCAGCCGAAACTGAAAGGCAGCTAAGTGGAGGCGTAATCTTCCCTTGCAGATCCATCTTGGCAAGGACGACGCTCGCCAGCAGTTCCTACGCATCCTGCGCGCTCTACCGTACGGAAACTCGGTCTTCTTCAACGTGAAGCGGATAGAGGACCCCATTGGACTGCTTCCGGGAAAGCTCATTCTGGGGATCAACAAGCGGGGGGTGAGTGCTCAGTTTTGGGGAACGCTAGAGCTTTCGGGCTTGCATTTCGACCCAGCGGTCGGTGCTTTTCTGTACCTGACTACTTTTCAGGGTTTGGTGGGTTGCTTCCAAGGGACTCCCTCTCATTCTTCGTTTGTACGTTCGTTGACCGTCTTCCTTGTAGGTATACACGATTCTCCGTCGAAGATAGAATGCAAAGTGACCGTCGAAGATAGAAAGCGAAGTGTTTGACAACGGAGTAGAGCTGTCAGCTAAGCGCATGTGTTGGTGAAAACGTCTGGACAGGATGGTCAACTGTCGAAGCACCACGTCTGATGGTTGGAAGCATCTCTTGTGTTTCCTACTTCCTTTAATGTTGACTTCTCTCTGAGAAGAGTCAAACCATAGACACTGTTCTTCCGGTCAGTATAGTACCTCCACTCGGCAGTACTGCGGACATAGAATTGACGCAACTACCAATAGGTCCTTCTTCCAAGCCCTTTGCAACCTGAGAGTTGGTACCCCGTCTTCTCCGCATGCGCACATTTTCAGGCCGGTTCAAAAAGAGTACCTCTACTGAGCGAATCTCGTGACACTTCGCAGCTCAAGCGCCACTCATCTCAATGCGAGGCCTCTTGGTTCAGCCTTTGCAAGACCCAAACCTGAAGGCCCTGTTTTCTACAGGTGCACTTCTTCCGGCCGGTCCCGAAGGAGTACCTCCACTCGGCGGAGCTGCGCGACATCATGCAGTTCGGGAGCAGCAGCACAGCAGTGTTCTTCAAGATGCGGGTCGCGGGAATCTTGCATATCTTCCAGTTCGAGACGAAGCAAGGGGAGGACATCTGCGTCGCGCTGCAGACGCACATCAATGACGTCATGCTGCGCAGGTAAGCGCTTGGAGCATCATGGAGCTTGTTCACTTTAGAAGGGCTTCCAAGTCGTATCTTTTGTTTGCAGCCTCGCTCGAATTTGATTCTGCGTCCTTCTTAGCAAACCCAACGGATGAAGACCCCCACAGTGTTTCACACTCCCCCACGTACTTTCGCATCTTTCGACTAACAAAGCGCTCAAACACACAAAATCCCCCTACGGGTATGCAAGGACCCAGGAAGCGCAGGCGGGCGCTTCCCTTGCCGACCTTCTTAGCAACCTTAACGGAATTATGTGCTTTTATATTCAGACGCCCTTGCAGGTATGCAAGGACCCGGGCAGCGTAGGCGGACACTCCGCTTGGTGTAGTTGTGAACGAAAGTTCATAAAAGTCGGTCCTTTTGGACCCACGCCCTAATAGAGTCGTCTACTGGAAAGAAGACGAAAGGCTTCTGCAAACGTTACCATCTTTTTTGCAAATATGCAAGGACCCGGGCGTCGCAGGCGGGCGCTCCACATTGAGTCGTTCTCAGCAAACTCAACTCAATCTGGTTTAACAAACGCACACCCTTTACAAGGGTTTGCCTCTAGGAGAAAAGAATCAAACGTGGATACTGAACGTAACCCCCTGTTGCAGGTATGCAAGAACCCGGGCAGCGCAGGCGGGCGGTCCGCCAGCTCCGGATGCCATGGAATCCGCTGCCGCCGCGCGGGCGGGGGGTGCAAAGGTTGCGGACGAGGGGGCGCCGGTGACGGCGACCCCGCGCGCGAATGAGATGTACGAGAAGCAGATCCAGGAGATGATGGACCACGTGGTGGCAAAGGACGCCAAGATCTGCTCGGTGAGTGACGGAAAGGATAGGAATGATTTCTGGTTAGTTGGGAGGCTGTTCAGGTATTGAGAGGGGGGAGTGCTTTTTCTTTGGGGAATCTGGAGGACGATTTTCGGGTTTGGAGCATGTGGTTTAGAAACTACAGGTGCGACGTGGAAGCGTGTTGGTATCGCTATTGCTTGCCTCTCCTTTTCGAGCTCCTTTGGTTACGGGGGCCTTGCTTGATACTTCGCTTGCTCAATGGCTTTCATCTGATTCGCAAAACGGGAGGGCATGGTGGAAGTACGAACACCCACGACCTTTGTTTTCGTTCTGGTTTGAGGTGGAGCGCGACACATTGGAAGCACAATTGCGGCGCTTCGCAAGAGAGGTAGCTCGGATCGCCAAGGAACATAGTACTTCAGTACAACTTCGTGAAAGCTCTCTGCATTCTCTGCTTAACACTCACGACTTTTGTTCCCGTTCTAGTTGGAGACGGAGCGGGGCACGCTGGAGGCGCAGTTGCGGCGGGTGACGGAGCAGTGGGAGGACCTGCGAGACCAATTGAGTGCGGAGGAGTCGACGCACGCGGAGCTGGAGAAAGAGCGAGACTCGCTGAGGAAGGCGATCGAGGAGAAGGATAACCAGATCCAGGTGGGTTTTAGCAGATTAGGCTTCTTACACTTCGTTTCAGGAGCGCTAGGTGCTCAGGAAAAAGCGGGAACAAAGCCGAGCAGACTCGATCGTCGGCGGCTCTCTGTACTTGGCCTATGGGGTTTGAATTGGTGCCTTCCGAGGTTTTAGGCCAGACAGTCCCAGAAATTTTCTCTCTGCGGAGTCTTCGCATGCTGGCAGATTGTCAACTCGTCAACCTTATCGACGACAGCCGCTGGTTCTGAACGAGGTTCGTCCTTTTCTTCCAGACACTCGAAATATTTCTTAGCAAAATACTCTCATTCCCAACAGGCGGCCAACGCAGCAGCCCTCGCCGCCGAGGCTAAGGTCGCGGCCGCGCTCGCTTCCGCCCCTCCTTCCGGCGTCTCCACGGAACTCATAACGGAAGCGGATTCCGTCGTTCCGCGCGAGCCGACGGCAGCCACGCCGGAGAGCACTCCGGAAAAGGCCAAAAAGGGCGCGGCGGCGGACCGGCTGATGCGCGCGAGCATCAAGCGGGACTCGCCCGCGGGGGCGGACTACGTGGCAAAAGTCCGGGCGCTGGAGACGCAGGTAAGACCCCGCTTCTCCTTACTCTTTCTATTTTAGAAAAGGGAGTGTGCGTCTTTATGCAAGAAAGAAAACCCCTCACCGTTTGCTCGTAAAACGCGCCGGAGGCTGCTTGCTTTCGACCAAGCCGGGCGCCCTGATCCTTCTGGTTGGAAATTGATCAAGTCGCATGTTTGAAGGCGTACTCGAGACACCTTGCCCAAGAGAAGAAAGGATTGTCAGGTACGAGGAAGAGTCGCTGGCGAGTTTTGCGGTTCAGAAGAGTGAAGAGTCTTTCAGGAGACAGCGATTGGGTTTGTGAGGGCGGTTCCTGCTGCCCGCCTTGAAGGATCTTCTTTAAAGGCAGACGTCATTCAATCAGCAGGTTTCAAGTCCCGTGATTACACTTTGCTTAGACGGAAGGGCAGGGAGAGGGGTTTGGTTTGCAAAGTGGCCTGTGGACCTCAAAAATGAAGCCTTTTTTTGGGGGCGTTACTTTAGAAAGTGGAATAGGCTGCCGTCCCGTTTGCTTCGCAGCCGGGTCAAGCATTCCAAAGGCATCAACGCTCTTGCTTGGGCGCGTTGCTTCTGAGAGATTTTCTGACAGTGCAGTCTCGTGCTCGCAGATGAAAGACCTGAAGACGGACATACGAAAGAAGGACGAGGAGATTCGGACGATGGACGCAGCGAACAAGAAGACGTCGCAAGCGAAGCAACTGGCGGAACAAAAGCTGGCGCGGCTTGAAAAGTCAAAAGTAGAGGGGGTGAGTGGTTGGATATTTCTACTCTTTGCCGCTTGTTGCAAAGCGAGCTTGAAATTAGGAGGTTGGAACCGTTGATATTGGGGAAGTCGAAAACGATTGAGCTTTGCGTTCCAGTACTGGGAAGTATTGTTCCAAATCCCGCCCGTTGGAAACGAGTTCAAGCAGGGTTTGCAGACTGTTTTGAGCAAATTCACTTCAAATAAAATTGATTCGGCCATCTTCTGCGGCAAAGGGAGGCTGTAATACAACGTACTCGTCGGAGCATAACATTTGGAATACGCATTCCATGGCGACAACGACAGCAGAAGGTTGTATTGAAAGGCATAGTTGAAAACGAAGACTTGCAACACAGACGGAAAGTCTTATCCACAGAGCAAGACGCCGGAGACGAAGTGCTTGGCAGAGCGCGACGACCTGCAGGGCTCAAGTATCGATATCAATGAAGGCCCTAAAAAAGCGGATGTATTGAGCAAGCAACGCAACAGAACCACAGTCTCCAAGAAAACTCTTCCCTGATAGTGTTCTTCCTTTTCGCAGAGCAAGGCGCTGGAGACGAAGTATTTGGCGGAGCGTGATGAGTTGCGCGAGCGGCTGGCCGTTGCGGAGCGCAAGCTGGCAGAGCAGGCGCAGGCGGTGGCGGCGCTCGAGACGCAGCTCGCGGGGCGCATGGCCGAGATCGACGCGATGGCCAACGACATCAAGGAACTGGACGAGCTGCGGGAGATGAAGGAGGTGAGTTTGGATTTTCCTATGTTAAGTTTCTACTGTTTTTTCAAGCTATCGTCGCGGCTTTCTGCATTGATCTTGAAGTCTGCCATTCCGAGTTCTCTCAAAAAAAATCTGCGACGCCAAGGAAGTGGACGAGCTGCGGGAAATGGAGGAGGTGGGTTTTGGTATGTATTTGCTGGTTGTTTTGATTGTTGAGATTGCTATTTACAGAGTCTGAAGTTGCAAGTGAGTACCTTGTTGCATCTTTTGCCCTTTCGTCGGCAATGGCGGGAAAGCAAGGTACTGGACGACCTGCGCGAGGTGAAGGGAGGTGGAAAATCTCGTTTTTCCTTCTAACCAATAAGTGGTCCGTTATGTCTTTTGAAGGGATCGGAACGGAGGAGGTTAACGTTCGAGGGCAGTGAGAATGAAGGAAACGGTTGACATTAAGCCCCGGTAACCGGTAACCCTCGATCTGTCACCCTTTTGCCTCCTCCAGACTGAACAAACTCGTTTCAATGTGCGATCAGGAAGCCCCCCTTTGAACGAGATCTACGCGTTCTAGTAGCCTCCGCTTGTTTTGTCTTGAGTTTCTGCCTAGCATTCCACGAGTGGAAACAGCAGACTACGACACGTCCCTTCTCTTGCCAACCCCAACTGAGTCGTTCCACCAAGATCACTCTCGGAAGTGGATTGACTTCTCGTCTTCAGAACGAGCAACAAAGTAACCACTTCCACATCAGCTGCTATCGTCACCAGCTATACTTCTCGAAGAAAGTGGATTGTCCGCTTGCTTTTTCAGGACGTGGACCGGAAGAACGAGCAGACGGCGATGCTGCTGAAGGGCCAGGCGGAGCGGCTGACGCAGCTCGAGGGGCTCTACCGGGACGAGCAGGTGCTGCGGAAAAAGTACTTCAACCAGATTGAAGGTCAGCATTGTGCCGTGCTTCGTCATCGGCTCTGCGTCCCACTCGACCCCTCTTTAGCAGCTGGCACCAGCGGTGTTCACAACGATTCCTTTACAAGAAACGATGTGGTGAATCGTAGAATACTTTCGATGAGACCGATTGCAGCGCCCGTCTTGCGTTGGTGGCCCGTCTCCAATGCTATTGCGCTTGAGCTTCCCATTGGTCAGTGTTTCTGTCAGCACTGGCGGTGGTCGTCCCACTCTGGATCTGAGAATGGAAGGGCAATGTACGTTACTTTAAGATCATTAGCGGGCAGCGTGGTCCTGAGCTTTATCTATGCGTCTAGCAGCTGGCACCCGCTCTTTTGGCCAGTTGCGAAAGTTACGAGCTTTGAGACACATGTGCACATCTGCGCAGAGCAGACCAATGATGCCAAGATCAAGCACAGTGACAAATCCTGACGCACAAAGCCTCCTTTCAGAACGACTTCTTGATCGGTCTGAGTTGGCCGAAGACCAGAACGGACTAATCTAGTAAAGGCTTTCCGACGAATCCACAAAACTCTCACCATTCTCGTTCTCCTGCAGACATGACGGGCAATATCCGCGTGTTCTGTCGATTCCGTCTGTCGAGCGTAACATAGTCAGCAGAAGACCCGAAGTCTTCGGTTTTGTTGCCCGACCGGTTCACACAGGACTCTCAATTTTCTTGTTCTCCTGCAGACATGAAAGGCAAGACCCGCATGTTTTATCCTCACCAACTTCATTTCCTCTGCAGACATGAAGGGCAAGATCCGCGTGTTCTGCCGGTTCCGCCCGCTGAGCGGAAAGGAGTCGGCGGAAGACCAGAAGATGGTCGTCACGGCTCCCGACGAGTTCACGGTGGAGCACCCGTGGAAGGACGACAAGCCGAAGCAGCACCAGTTCGACCACGTGTTCACCGACGCCGCCACGCAGGACGCGGTCTTCGAGGACACCAAGGTGGGCGGCGGATCTGCTGATGTTAGACTGATGACTTCCTCGTTACATCGTTCTGGAAGGTTGTGTCAGTCGCTATCTGCTTGTTGTGAGCGTCTCCCCTCTTTCGCTGCTGACACTGCTGGTACTAGTCATTGAGGACGCCGAGGTTGGGGGCGGTTTTGCTGACGTCATCCTGACTATTGGTAATGTCCATCATTGGCGCCCACTCGTCATAGAGTGTTTCTTGGGGTCGGTTGCTTCTGTGACTGTTGGCAGCGGGCCCAGGTTCGAAGGACAAAAGGCACGAGGGCGCTGGGTTCATTGTGACGTCAGAGTGACGTACTTTGTCACTCATGCTGTGTCCTTCGTCCTGTGTGGGATCCGCACTCGCGGGGTCCGAGATGGGCTTCGACAATTGTACACACAGTCTTAGAACTCGAGTCCAGAATGACTAGACTGAAATTCTGTTGCCTTTTTGCAACTTGTTTTCATCTCGAGAAAAAAGTTAAAACCTCTCCTTGCAGTATTGTTCAAAGTGCGGTGGATACATTCGTGCCCGTCTTTGCTTACGGCCAGACGGGCGGGAAGCCGTTCAAGAGTTCAAACTTGAACAACTGGAAACAAATTAGAACCGATCTGTAACCCTTCCTTAACCTGCTTGAAACCCCGGGCCTCAAACCCTAAACGTCCCTTCCTTTGCAGTATCTGATCCAGAGTACGGTGGACGGGTACAACGTGGGCACCTTCGCCTACGGCCAGACGGGCAGCGGCAAGACGTTCACTCTATCGAATCCCGATCTGCAGAAGACAGTTCGTTCGTTTCAAGCTACAAAGCAGGTTTCTAAATCTTGAGGACCTCTCCTTTTGCAGTACTTGATCCAGAGTGCGGTGGACGGGTACAACGTGTGCATCTTCGCCTATGGCCAGACGGGCAGCGGCAAGACGTTCACGATCTACGGCACGCCCGAGAACCCCGGCCTGACGCCGCGCGCGATGCGCGAGCTGTTTGAGATTATGCAGCGCGACGGGAACAAGTACTCGTTTGCACTCAAGGTGTACATGCTGGAGTTGTACCAGGTGAGATCCCAAGTCGAAAGATATCAACAATTCACTCTCGCTCAGTGTAACAGTGATCGTTCTCGAGTTTTTGAAGAGTCCCTTCAAGCACTTTTCTCCAAAGTGCTTTTTGCACTCGTTGAGCCGGCCGTGACGTCTTGGCTCGTCGATTACGACTGAGGTCAACGTTGCGAGTTTGGCTCCAGCGTTAGCGCAGAAAAGTTGAAGATTGCGGCATCCACTCAAATCCGTTTCCTCGACGAATCTTTCCTGCTGCTGCCCCTGAAGGCTCCCAAGGAGCTTGGACGAACTAAATGAAGCTTAAACGACACACTAATGTCCGACGGATTGGTTGTCCATCGAATAGATGTTCTTTGAAGCTCGAAGACTGATATGCGAAGTTTGAATCTTACTACAGGACAAATATCTACCAGACTTGCTGCTGCCCAAGAAGGCCTTCAAGGAGCCCAAGAAATCTATAACGTTTCTCGAGACCCCCAAACCCTCAAATTCATGGCTCTTCGGGATCCTCACGATTGCATAATCTCAGCTTTCCCGCGCACCTTGTGCTGATATCGTTCACTTTTCTCTCTTCAGACAAATTACACGATTTGCTCCTGCCCACGAATGCCCCTGGGAAGCCACGCTACCTGATATAGGACCAAAACCTGGTTTCAAGAAAGCAAGAGCCTGAAAAGCTCTGAACTCTGAACATGAATCCCGACGCACTACACTACGTTTACAGGACAACTTGCAAGACCTGCTGCTGCCGAAGAAGGCCCCCAAGGAGCCCAAGAAGCTGGAGATCAAGAAGGACGCCAAGGGCATGGTGGTCGTCGAGGGCGCCACCCTAGTTTCCGTCGCGTCGATCGAGGAACTAGAGGCGACGGTGAAACGCGGCCAGGAGAAGCGCCACATCGCGGGGACGCAGATGAACACGGAGAGCTCACGGTCGCACCTCGTGCTGTCGATTATCATCGAGAGCACGAATCTGCAGACGCAGGCGCTCGTGAAGGGGAAGCTGAGCTTTGTGGATTTGGCAGGGTCGGAGCGGGTGAAAAAATCGGGGTCGACGGGAGAGCAGCTCAAGGTGGGTTTCGTTAAGCTGGACTTGTTGTTTCAGTTTTGGGTCTGACTGATCCAAGGTAAATCAAGGCTGGCTTTGTGGTTCTGGCGGGGTCGGAGCGGGTGAAGAGGTCTGGGTCAACGGGGGAGCAACTCAAGAAAAGTCAGCAGATCAGCTGGTTTGTGATCTGGACTTTGGGTTTTCTGGGTTCGGGGATCTTATTAAGAAAGGAATCTGACCGATCCGTGGCATATCAAGGCTGGGTTTGTGGACCTGTTGGGTTCGGAGCGGGTAAAAAGATCAGGGTCCATCGGGGAGCACCTCAAGGTTGGGTTTTGTTCCAGGTCACTGTCTTGGGATTACTAACCGTAGGTCTCAGGTCCTCGGGCGTTTGGGATTATGGTCAGCTTATGTTACTGAGCGATTGTGGCTATGCCAACCGGTGCGGGCTTTGTCGCTGAGAGGGTATTGCGATTGGAGCAGAAGCGGAAGGTGGGCTTGGGAAAGGTTGGAGCTTCTTGCGTCACAGAATGGTGCCTGATTGGGATGCTTATAGTTCTCCGTACTTTCCCCGCCTTTATCCGAACCCGTTCAGTCCTACGAGGTCCGTCGCAGGACAAGATAATCAATAGAGCGGATGGGTCTGAGGCGAAAGAAGCTCGTAAACACGTGACGTCACTAACATGTGGTGCGTTCCGTGTCGCAGGAGGCCCAGTCCATCAACAAGTCGCTGTCAGCGCTCGGTGACGTCATCTCGGCGCTCGCCACGGAGGAGGCGCACATCCCGTACCGCAACCACAAGCTCACCATGCTCATGAGCGACTCGCTAGGTGAGCCGCAATTGCTTCATAACCAGTTCTTCGCCCTTGGATTCATTCCGTTGTTGCTTCCACATTGCGTCAATATTCTTTGCAGTCTGCCAAATGTGGAGATTGTGGCGGTTGATTGGAAAGCGCAGCAAACCCCCTGTGGAGTTGAACGGCGCACAGCTTCTCTTGACCTGTGAGAGTTGGTGCCAGCGTATGAGTGTTTGCAAATAGTTCCAATAACGTCCGGCTGCCCATGTAGAGTAAGGCACTAGTACAACTAGAGTCGTTAAATCCCGTGTGGCATCTAAGGACATCATATGTGCCTCATATACCTCCTGGATATTCTTTGGGAACATAAAGCGTATGGCGATCTCGTGATGCAGGAGGAAACGCCAAGACGCTGATGTTTGTGAACGCGTCCCCCGCCGATACGAACGTGGACGAAACGCACAACTCGCTCATCTACGCAACCCGCGTGCGCTCGATTATCAACACTGCCACCAAAAACATCGAATCGAAGGAGATCCTGCGGTTAAAGAAGCAAATAGCCCACTGGAAAGAGCAGGCCGGAAAGAAGCCAGAGGAGGAGGACTTGGACGAAATTGAGGACAAGAAGTCGACCGCAAGTGTGGGACCGGAATAGTGTGACGGGGGTGGGTTCTTGGCTTAAGCGATACGAGGCGTGCGCTGCTATTATTTGGGTTGATAGAGTAGGTATACTTGTGTCACTTACACAATCTTAATGGTACTTCGTAGGTTATGGATCAGGCAGGTGACGGGACTTGATAGCTTTAAACATCCGTAGTGGATGGTTGCGTGCGAATATGCCAAAAATGAGGTACTGCTGCTAAGCAAGTTGGAATAGTGAGACTGCATCGATTGCCATACTTTCGATCAAGGCAAAGGAAGGTTTCGTAGTGATTTGTCTATGTGGCTGCCGCCTGTGCAAGATTATGCAAATGCAAATGCAAAATCGATTGTTTGATTCAGGCTCCGACTTGCCAGCCCCCAGCTCCAACGACCACCGTTCGAACTCAGCATTGCGCCCAGCAGATTGTTGGCCGTCATGACAATCTCTTATATAATTTCCTCTTATAAGTATACGCGAAGGTTCTATAAAATCAGGCTGTACATGCAATCAGATACAATTACGGGACCTAGCTAAGACCAAAGTGTTAAATCATGTCCATGCACTTTGTGAAGGTCACTGACCAATCGTCTCGATTAGGTCCCCGCTTTAATTAGTTCAAGAGGACGGTAGACCGCGCGCCGCAAATGAAATGTGGCAGTAAATGTATTCCTCATGTGGCAGGCTGTCTTGCAGTGATTTGGCGGCCTGGATATATCATTACAGTTGGACGTGGGCCCAAGCTGTTACAAATACAATGATCTGGTGTTCCAAAACTTGAAAGCTAGATCCCTTTCGAAACTTGGAGTTGGATAGTTGGATCCAAAAATTGCCCCGACAAATGCATGTTCACTAGCCAAGACGGCGCTCTTACTCGTGCAACATGGCGAACATATACAGCTAGATGTCTAGCATGCAGCTAGATCGAGTCATTTTGGCCCGTCGGATTCGCAAAACAGAGCTGTAACGGTGACGTGTACATGTTTGGATGTTTGTGCAGCATGTGCATCGTCGTCACGTGACTGTAGACTTACGGGTTTTGAATCATCTCGATCAGGCTAGCTACCGCCGGCCGTCCTGTTGCGCCCTTGTATTCCTGAGTCGCGGGCGGCCGCGCAAAGCCTGAGCCTGCGGCAGCCGCCGCCGGCGGCCGCGTAACTCTCGATTCCATGAAGGGTTAATGTAACACCAAATTAAAAGCTCAAACCCTACGTTTACACGCTCCGCTCTCGTACCCACCCTAACCCCCAAGCTGACCCCACCCGTCCCAGTTACCCTTCATCATAAATTCGAGGGAAATGGCGGCCGCGCAGCCCGGCGTCCCAATCACGGATATATCGGTACTTACTCGGTGTGACATCATTATGGGAATTTATGGCGCCATGGCGCTCCCCGATTGAGATGATTGCAATCTGTGGCACCTGTGATCTACGGTAGCTCAGGGCCCCTCACTGCTCAGGCTTCCTCAAATAGATAACCAGTTCCAAATCCATACCTATTGGTAGAGTCTGCTACCTACCTGCGAAAGGAAAGCTGGGTGGGGCGACAGGCAAGCTGCTGAGCAACATACGGCGGCCGCCAGAGCAATCGGTGGCGCAACATCTTCTTTTGACATTGTCACATCCAAGGTCTATTTTGGGGTGCACTATGAAGGATCAAGGAGCCCTTTAACCGGTTGGCAGCTGGTTAAGTGCAAGCCTCAAATCTTGCATTCATTTAATTGGCATCACTTCGCCAGAGCTACAAGAACCACCAAGAAAGGGAACCACATTTTGCCAACTAGAGTGTCACTGACGGAAGCACAACCCTCGTACAGCATTCACAGAAGACCAGACCGTTTAGAGAGAGTTGGTACTAGCGGAAACTTGTTCAATCCAGGCTAACTTCATCACATATGTCGTCACCAGCTAGTTTCCACATGGCGTCGGGACATGAGCGGAAAAAGGTCTTCCCGCAGGGAAGAGAAAGGCTCACGACAGATAAGAAGTGGCTGCAAAGCCGTTCCGCTTCCGGGATGCTGCTTGCGGTCTTCTTGGCTGGGCTCCTGTCAGGACCTGTGCTGGTAAGTAACTGTTCCCTCAATTGCCTCCAAAGCACCACTAACCACCCTCTGCGCAAGCAAGAAATACATGTGCATACTGCATTGCTCAAGTTTTCCTGTCTGGGATACTTGAAGTGAGAGGTTGACCTGATGAGCTTTGAAGTGAAGGGCTGTAGGGTGCATTGAGCGGGCTGAAAAAGTATTTTGGAAGGTGATGTATATGGAAGAGTGGGCGGTCATGAGGCAGGCTTTGATCTTGTCACACTGAGCTCACTGCTTGCAGCTAATTTCTGACAAGGACTGACTTAGGCTCAGAGTTTCATTCTGCACTTTCTTGTCTAGATACGATTTATTTGTTTCTCTCAATAAAAAGAACATACAATTAAGCTATGATTGCCTGTGGTAGTGGCCTCTACTGTCACCAGTTGATTGAAAACTGGCCAGAATCGAGAGGTTGTAAAGATTGGAAAGAATCAGGATTACTGCCTTCTAGCTATAGTTAGCAGTTTTTGCAGGATCAGATGATTATATACTCATCTGAACCCACTGGCAGAATATAGGTTTCTCTGGTCAAGAAAACTTTGTTTGCAATCTGGTACTCCCTTTGGACACTAACTTCTGAATTGACGTCTGCTGCGCTCTTCTTTGCTTGGAAAGTGCTGCAACTTTTCCTGCGCAACACGGATACAAAAGCTGGCTCTTGTGAGCGCATATTGCAGTGAACTGAGTTCGTATCCCACCGCAAGTATTTTGAGTTCCAAAATTAACGGCCGCATGTATCTAGTTTGGCACCTGGATGATTCGATGGGTGGAAATTGGGATCAAGTGTGAAGTGCTTGGGAAAAGTTACGCTTCTGCAAGCACACTCATGCGGCCTGCTCTATTATTGGCCCGACTGCCAATCGCCAGAGGATGCTTGCTTGTACGACAGTCCGCTTGGGAAGAAGGATATTGCCTCTTCCTGAGACCTGTACTTCCGTGCAGAGAAGACGTTCCCTCCGTGCGCTGCATTCAGCATAATTTGCTGACTCTGGGAGAAAGATACACTCAGAAGACGGAAAAGCTGAACACCACTCTTCCCTGCAGGTCCTGGCACAATCCATTGAAGCTTCGGAAGGTCTTTCGGCAGTGGAGACGCAAACCGTCGACTTCGGAACAAACGTCACCCAAAGGCAACTCCTCCAAGAACGTGAGTCAGCAGCGGCCGCTGCCAGCCTTTTGGCGGGCAACTTGCAAAGAATTGAATCCCCTGATCTTGTGGGCAATTGACACCGACTTAGAGTCAACGCTGCACTGGCAGTCTGCAGATCCTAGGACAGACGCTTCTGCGTTTGAAGGAGCCCACTTGTGCTTCTTCAAATATAATCGATTGACGTTTGGAACAGCATTCGTTTTTGATGTTTGAGCCCCCGAGAATGCTCCACTGTCTTAACGTCAGCGTTACCAAGCCCGTTATACCGATGCGGGCTTCTCGCTGAAATGTGATCAGTGTACTCTGATTAGTGTGAAAGAAGCCCTGATTGACTGTCTGGCACGTCCCGATCGAGTTCATTCAGATTTGACCGGAAATGGAAAGCCGTTGGTCAAAGCCCACTTAGGAAACCAAAAGTTGGAGACTGATTAAAAGTCGATAAGAGAACAGAGTCAAAGCCGCCAAACGGAAATCCGAGGCCAATTAAAAAGAAAAGGTGGAGGGTAAATCCATATTCGAACACTAGGCAAGAAGTTAGAGCCCAAACGAAAATCAGCAAGGAAAGGTCACAAAGTTGGATTAGTGTCAGAAAAGTAGACCAAATTCAGGGTTGGAACCTCCCGTGCGGCGATCTCTCGCTTGATTGAAACCTGATGACGTACGTGTGTCGCATTCACCTCGAGAAGGCCTCTGTAGACTAACATAGACGCTCAACTGAAGTTGGTAGAAACTACAGCCAAAGTCAGAGGCTAAAGCAGAGTCAGAAACCAAACCAAATCCAAGACTAAATCCCCTTAATCCCCTGCAGGACGCAACTTGCTGACGTATGTGTGCCGCATCACCTCGACCGACAAGGCCTTCGTCGGCTACGCGTGTGGCTCTGGCACGTGGAGCACTCGCCCTTACGCCGCGTGTTGCTTGACACAGACTTTCGACGTCGATACGACTTCTTGCCTCACCGCCAGAAGGTTCGAGCGGGCGGACTGCACCCCTAACGGCCTTTACACAAGCCCCGCGTGCTGCGACGTTTTTGCTTCTCCGCCCCCCCCAAGAAGTTCCAGCCCTTTTACCCCCCCGAGTCCTCGCCGGCCCCCCCCTCCTCCCCCCCGCTATGTCAGCCCCCCCACGAGCCGCAGTTCTGGTTCTTCGAGCCCGGATGATGACGATAGCAAGAATGGCAATTCCAGTCTTTTCGTAGCAGGGGGGTTGGCTGCGGCGGGGGGCCTCGTGTTTATGGTCTGCGCCGGGCTGCTTCTCTGTTGCCTCATAAGCAATCGGACGCGCGAACTAGAGAGGGGAGAGAAGTTGCTGCCGGCGAGCAGGGGAGGAGCCGCACCGAACCAGGCCTTCGCTCGTGAGCCAATATTCTTCGAACGTGAGTCTCATCTGGGGTTTCCCCCATTAACCAAGCCTGTCTGGGGTTGAAAAGGTCCAGCGATTTCAGCGTGGCCTTCAATTGAGCACGAACATGGGGAGCGAAAGTGATCTGTTCGAAGGAACTCCGAGTCCGCCCGTTGTTTACAAACCCGAGCTTGAAACGTGCGAGATCCTGCTTTGGTTCAGATCAATGCGAGGGAGTCAATGTAGGATCACTCTAAGACAGCTGACGGTTTCGAGAATTCGCGAAGCGGCCGTCAATTGATGGAACGATGCCAACTCGTGCATTTGCACGATCAGGGGAGAAGATGAGAAGCAGGGTTGGCGTTCGAGCGTGGATTCGACTGCGTCCAGCTAACTCCTTGCTTTCGCTCGTCAAAAGTAAAATTCAATCCAATAATTTTCTGGTGAACGGTGGGTTTCTGTGACCGACAAGCACAAGTTGAGCTTAAAACCGGAGCTTTAGTCGGTGGAATAAGCAACTCACAAGCAGTCAGATTTGAAGCCCATTCTCCTGATGAGACCCCTAATCAAAACCCGTCGTTGTGGGAGATAACCAAGTTTTGACCCAGGCTAAGTGCTTCAAGTTAAATTTAATCAGGCTCGACTCGAACCAAAGACGATTAACATTGCGCACCCTTTTTCGAATATGAATCCCTTCGATTGCTTTCAGGCGAATTGGAACCACAAGGCGCACCAATGCACACCCACGGTCAGGGTCCCGGTTACGTCCCCCGGGCAGCGCCCTCCCCTTTTCCGCAAGCCCGGCCCTACACCGGGGACGTGCAACCGGGTACGTACGTCGCAAGACCTGGAACGGCCGTCGAACTGCCAAGAGGTTGACAGGCAGATGAACTTAACAGGAAGTCGGTCCTCAAGTCAAAGACGACCAAAGATACGCAGAGAGGGGGTCACCACCTCGACCAACATGGGTCAGACTGTCCAAGAGTCTAATCTGAAGTTGAAAGCGTCAAAGCTTGAAAGGTCGGAAGTTTTAGCGGACGACTGCGAATTTGAGGCGGAACCGAGGGCCTGAAACGTTTTTGCCAAGCTTGCTCTAGGTGTGTCTCTATAGACGAATTGCCCAGTATGCGCCGAGCGTATGCTTATCAATTGGCCGCTGAGCTTACGTTAAAGCAGTGCTGCTAAATGTCGCTGACTCAGCCTTGATTAGTTGGGAGACTGTCGATCATGCAAGTTCGGACCAAGCGGTTATTAGTCAAAATAAGAAGGTCACGTTTTGCTCTAAGCTAGACTCAGGCCAACCAATCTAGGTGCAAAAGTAGTTGATCATTTTGTCCCACTGCAATGATCAGTCAGGTAGGTTGTCATGAACCCTCTAATTTATCCGACGTGTGCTCACACGCCGATCTTGGATCCATGATTGCGAATCATGGTTCTTAATGGGCGTATCTTTGCATCTTGAAACTGGACCGTCATCGATCTCGGATCGGACGGTTGAAAGGAACTTGTCCATTAGGTATGCAATCCTTAAGCTGATAATTGCACATGGAAATATGCTTCTAGCTTGATATGATCCCAATTGTCGCGCGCATACCGGTAGCTCGATCTTATAGCTTCGATCGATGCACAACGAGTTAAGTTTGGTGCAGGCCGCGTGTGGTACGGTGCATATGTTGGTATACTGTTGATCGAGTGACTACGTGCATACTTCGTTAATTAGTTGAGTCCGCATTAACGCACATGTGCTAGCCCTTGCGTACATGTTGGAACGTACTCGGCCTGCGCGTTGGCAAGCAAAAGGGCAGCTGGACGTGAACGATCCGTGCGTGGCCTCAAGCGACATTCAGGCTAGCTGCTTATGCCTCGGGCCTTGCCAGCGTAGTTACCTTTGCAGTATTGTACGGATGCATGACCCTCGATGCAGTCGTCAAAACAAGCGGATTCTTGGGCCTTGGCAGCGCGCAGGATCGGTGACCTCTTGTTCCACTTACTGCGCTCTAGTGAAAGTGAGTGAAGAAACTTGCGGACAATATCGATCGCACTGATCAGTAGTGATTCTTTGGGCTCGTGCCATAACAATGACCGGACATTTTTTGTCCCTTCAAAACGTTTCTTTGACGTTAACAGAGCTTGACTGGGATACACGGTCGCGAACAGCGACCAGCAGCGTCGAACCTCTTTTGATTGCATGCCTTAAGCTACCTAGCAAACGCTAGCTGGCATGCTGCGCCCTAGGCGCTTTCAATGACTACCTTTTCCCTCCCGGGGGGCTCCCTCCTCTCTTCGCGCTCCCGGGCCTGGTCCCCCCCAGAGCGGTGATTCCGGCCGTCAGCCGCCGCCCAACACTCGGCCCGTTTGCCGGCCCTTGCTGAACCACCGCTACCCGTTTCTGCCCCGGGGGGCCAAAATTGCCCGGTCCAAGAGCCCCCGTATTGTGCTCGAGCGAAGCACCAAACGGGAACGCCTGTTCTGCCCGGGGTACGCCCACGGGGCCCTGGTTTGGGGACGTTTTAGCGGGGCGCGCCGTTCCGGGAAGCAGAACTAGACCGGGGGGCATTGGCCCCCTTGCTTGCAGAGCGGGGATGGCTCTGCCAGGGCCTTGCTTTTGCGCGGGGGGAGTTAATAGCCGGGCGTTCATGGGCGAGGGAACGGCAACTCCTGGCAAAACGGGGCCCTGAAGGGAGTGCATCCCGAACTGGTTTGTAGCAGCCGCTGCGCGGTTTGGCGAGACGACCGGGGCAGGGAAGCTATTCACACCACCCGAGCGGGCGGCGCCCAGTGGGCTAGTGGCGTACGAGGAAGGAGTGTGAACGGGCACGGATGCGTAGTTCGGCACCGCCGCGTAATTGGGCGCCTGGGTGTGAACAGGAGCCGCGGTGTGAACGGGCGCCGCGGCGGGAAGGGTGTGAACAGGGGCCGCAAACTGCTGGTACAGCGCGTGGCAGGCTGCCATGTACTGGACGTACGCAGGGTTGACGGCGTTCACACCGGAGGGGTTTTCACACTGCCCGCCGAAAAGCCCCGCGAACAAAGGGGTGTCTGGGAGGGGTTTCGCGTTCGGGGTGAGCCACGTGTCGGCCGACGGGATCGCTAGCCCGGGGGATGACGTGGCAGCCGCGTGCGCTGACGTGGCAGGCGTCCGGGGCAGAATGTGGCGCAGCTTGCGCGCTGGGGCCTTTTCACACCGGAGCGTCGTCGGGGGCGATCCCTCTGTTGGGGAGGGCGAGGGCGAAGGTGAACGAGCTCCGGTTTCAGGGTCGGTTAGGGAGTGGATTTGGGGCGGGTTTGCGCCAGTCATTGCGCACTTTGTCACCGGAGAGCGTTGCAAGCTTTCCTCGTGGCTTGAGCGGAGCCCCTCGACCGGCCCGGTGTTAATAGGCGCTTCCGGCGACGTGGTTTGCAGAGGGGGGGTCGCGGAGCGGGCCAAAGGTCCCCCCGTCAGTGGCAAACCGAAAAACTCCGTGCTCGGGAACCCTCCTAAGACTGGCCACGACCCGCTCGCTTTAAGGACAGGCCCCGTCATAGGGCGATCCGTCTCGATCTTCACTGCAACTGGCGCCGACACTTGTCTCAACAGGGCCTGCCCTGCCTTTCGAGCGCCCTGTTCTCCGCTTCCTACCGGGCCCGGCGGCCCCAACACACCTCCGTACCCCGCCCCAATTCTTTCTCCCCCCCACTCTCGCCAGCCGTTTTCGCTCCCCCCAAACGGCACCTGGGGGCCTTCCCCGGGGTGCTTCCCACCTGCCACGTGGGCGATTGCGATTGGCCACTGGGTCGAGGGGTACACCGCAACTGGGCGGTCCGGCATTTGCCCCGGGGCAATCCCCCGACCGCTTCCAGTCAGCGACCTAACCCACTCAAACGCACCCGGCGCCCCGACGCCCTCCTCGTTAACCCTCTGCAAACCCGTCCTTAACCGTTTTGCCGGCAGCTCGTTTTCTGCGGGTTCCACCGAAGGGGGGTCGTCCGCCGGGCGTTTCGACCCCCCCGCGGCGAGCTCTTCGGGGCGTAGCAAGGGGACGCACCACTTGAGGTTATCGGCGCGCGAGTTGAGCGCGATGCGGGAGTTTGCGCAGATCCACCGGAAGGCGGGTTTGCGGACCTTGTTAACCTGGATCTTTTCGATGAGGCGCATCGAGGCCAGGATGTTGGCGATGTCGTACAGGCGACGAACCTTGGCTGCAGGACAGAGAATCGTTGGTACAATCAGAACTTTGAAAAAGCTTTAGTTCAAGGAACCTAACTTGGAAACGGTGAAGTTCGAGGGCAGGTTTATGATCGGCTTGGGGTGTCCCTGGTTGTATTCCAGATTTGAAAATGGTTTAGCATTCACTCGAAAATCTGTGATCGAGTTAAAGTATTCGTGGTTCGCCGCAGAAACCTCAGCGTCTGAGACTGTGAGGAGAAATCTTCATTGACCAATGGGAACACTATTTGTGTCCTCTATTTTTGTCATCTTTGGATGCAAGCAATCCACAAAGCCCAGCCGGAACCGACGAACCGTTTGGCGATCAGGGGCGCCGAGAGCTGCTTATTGAGGTTCCCCTTCTCAAGACGTTCAAATCACAGGCAGAAACAGCTTCGGAGCACCAAGAGAAGAACAAGCAAGCAAAGGAAAACGAGACAAGTCGTTGCACGGGCGCTTGTTCTGGACGAGGCACTACTTGGAGAGACCACTTTCATCCCCTGACCAGGAAGCGCAAACGACCAAACGAAGCGCACGCAAGAGGACGAAGAAAGCACTCAGAAAAACGTTGATCGCAAGAGGTCCGCACGCGCGCGCTCACTCTTGGTTTTGGCGGTCGCGTCGCAGTCGCTGAGGAGGACCTCCGCCGCGTGGTCCAGCGACAGCACGCCCGTGTGTGACGTCAGGAACAGGCCCACGAAGCGCTGCGTCAGCACGCCCAGCGACTTCTCGCGCCGGCTGTCGCCTGCAATGCGGATCGAGGTTGTTTTAGACTCTGTTGAAGTCAGGTCGCTTGGCTGATCTTTCGGCGACTTGCGTTGGTCCTGCTTTTCGCGCCTTTTGTTTATCCCCACGCTCATCCGGCATATCGCCGGCAGTCTTCCTAGAACTCTGTGAACAGCTTGATGAACAAGCCGCACCAAGGAGGGAGCGCCCTTCCCCCCACCCTACCCCGTTCAAGGATTGCAAGTGGGGAATTGAAGATGGGGTTAGAGTGGAGCCGAACTTATAGAAAAATGACGATTCCGGAGCAAGGCAGCACATATCACGTTTCCATGTTTTGGAAATCCATTCATCGGCGTATGCCAGGGGCTCCTAGATTAGGTTCTGGTTTGAGCGGCAAGCCTTCCGTTGAGAGCCTTCGTCCTTCCACTGTCAGGGCGGGGACCGGATGATCACGTTTCACGGTCTCCTGTAGGACCTTACAACTGGTCCTGTTCTGGGAGAGAGATCTTCTGTATGTTCTTTTCTTCTTTTTCAAAGAACTCTTCCCATCGGTGCTTTTATTAAATTCTTTCGTTCTTGTTTTCCTTTCAATCCAACTCTTCCATCTTTTCTTCCTTCTCGTTGATCCTTGAGTAAATTCCAACTTCGTAGTGGAAGATCTAGGCTGCTTCGATGACGTTTTCGTTCAAATTCAAGGATGAAGCACATTCCGGAGGGAAGTTTCCCACCTGCGCTTTTCTTGGCCTTGCCCCCCCGGGGCCCTCTCACGTCGGCCTCTTCGTCGTCACTGTTGCACGGGGTGGTGTTCCGGCTGCTGGCCAGGCTTCCGGGAACGGAATCCGGTTGAGAGACCGGAAAGCCGTGGAAGGAGTCCGTCTGAGAGGCGGGGAGGATGTCCTCACAAAGGTCCTGTGAGTTGGAAAAGACGTCAGGAATGAGAGACTTTGTGAGAGTTGATTCTTAGGCCACGTTGCTTGGTGCTTTTCGTGGGCGTTTGCTTGCATGACGGCCGCTTTCGAGACTTATGGGCAAGCACGTCAAAAGAACTGAGGATTGAAGGTAGTCCTGGCTTTTCAGAAGGTCCGAAGACAGAAGCTTCTGGCATTTTCAGACGCGTCGAACGGGCAGCGAAACACAGGACTACGAAAGTCGACGCAGATCCGTTCAGCTTTCCGCCGGCAAGAAGACAGGTGCTTTCGTTCGTCGTGAGACAGATGCTTCGTCCTAACAATGAGAGCACCTCGTGAGAAGCCTGCGCCAGTCTTCCAAAATCATTTTGTTTTTGAATAAACATCATGGAGACCACTCTCAAGAAGCTAGGGAAACTAGGGCGAATAACCAAATCCAGGCGACTAAAAGCGAGAAGAAAACGAGCGAGAGAAGGCTTGAGCAACTGACCATCGAGCGCTCGCGACTGAGCGCTGACGCTATTGCTGACGCTTGCGCCAGCCCGCCCTCCTTCCGCAACGCATCCTCCTAAAAGCGGAGCGGATAGCTTAGTCAGCAAGCGATGTAACAAAACCTCTGGCCTTACGGGTTCATCACTGCTATTGCCACAGAGTTGGAATTTAGCTGTGGCCGAAGCACTCACGAACCGTTCTAACTTGTGGGCTTGGGAGAAGCGATGATCGCTTTGCCGGAATGATTCAAGCAAGGTTCCCCGAGTTTGACTTCTTCCGTTCTGAGTCCTTTCCCGTAGGATCTGTACATGCAGTGCGGTGCAACTTACCTTCATCTGAGCGAGTGCGCACGGCAGATTGTCAAGGCCGTGCCACGTGTACCGGTTCTTCGCCTTCCGAACGACCACCTGAAGGAAAACAGCAGCAGGAAAGGGCAGTCAGAAACCACGCCAAAGGCTTAGAAGCAAGAGTACAAGGAGCAGCTGGTGTTTGAGTCTCTCAAGTCAGAACCTATCTTCACTCTCGATCACCCGCTGAGGAGATATCGTAGTGGAAGTGGATCAAGGAGTATTCAGGATCGAAAGTCACGTTGCTGACCCCTACAATACCCCCTACGAGATATGAGGCTTTGGATTGCCATACGGATTGGGAGATATTCCGTTAAAAAAGGACGGATGGAGATGGTAGTGCGATTGCCTTGCACTTCATTGCCGTCAGAACATAGTGGGAGGCATCTCAAGGTTTTGAGGTACACTTGCCGGCCCTAGGAAGAATAGCGAGCAATGAGGCGCTAGCTTTTTTCCCAGCTCACAGTTGTAACAAAGAAATAGCAGGGAGCGACACAAGCCCAGAAGCAGTTGGACCCCAACTGGAAAGACGAGCTTAGCAATAGCATAAGGGAACAGAGTCACACCTGCATGCTTTCGAGAACATTGACGATGTCATAGATGCGGCGCCTCTCAACCCCTGCAAAACAGAAGTTCAGAGTCAGGAAAGCAGACGTTATCAGGTTACAGCAATTATGTAATCTGGCTCTCAGAATGACCCAGCACCCAGTTGTTGGTTTGTGGCACTTCATTGCAGAGATGAGAAGCAATTGTGACTTCATGGTTGAATTGTGACTTTACGGTTGAACCAACCTTTCTGCCGTCATAGTTCCAGGTGTCCTAAAAAGCTGGGTCTCTTTTGAACTGTTATAGAAACCTTTCAAAGCTGCATGTTTCATCCTCTCAGCTTTAACAGTCACAAGCCGTCACCTTTTTATCGAGGGCTCTCTAAACATCTAGCAGAAGGATACCATTGTGAAAGAGTTGAGCTCGAAATTCAGTTGCTAACCTAGTTTCCTTGCTGCGTCGTCGAGGATCACGAACTCGTACTGGGCACTTGTGTACATGCTCATGAAGCTGCAAAGGACGTGGAGTCCAGTCACTTATAGTGGTGTTTTAAGGAAAGGTTGCTTAAGAGTGCTACTCAGTTAGGAAGCAGCCTTCCCTGAACCTTTATTGGCTGGACACTAGAAACTTATATCTATGAGCGACCTGTGCTGGGAGGACTGGCAGCTCGATGGGTTGCTTGGCTGAGCTTGGTAAGCCTCCTGGGCATGAAGAGTGTATCGAATCTTGTCAGAATCAGCTGTGCCTTGACATATGCAAGGAGGATTGCTACTTCAACCTTTCTGGTCATCCGCCTCAATCCTCAACAAGCTGCAACAGCTACTCTTCTCTAGCCTCTGTACAGCATTCGCCCACACAAACCTTGCAACACTTTTGTCCAAACGTGGAGTTCCCACTTGGCTTATTATTGCCAGACTCTCGATTAACCCCACAGGGAGTGCATACTTACTTGTCACATAGCAGCCCAAGAGACTTCTCCTTCCGACAGTATGCCAGCCCCCCCTCCTCCGCAATCGAGTCCGACTCGCCCCCATCCTCCTCCTTTACGGGCACCTTAGGAACTCCCCCCTTCCGGCCCTTCCCGCGACGTCCGCTGACATCGGCACTGACCTCAGCAGGCCCCTCTGACGCGCTAGCCGCTGGAAGCTCTGAAGGGTTTGCCTTGGAAAGAGCACTCCCCGGGCGGAGCGTCGGAAGGTTGGTGTCAAGCAGCTGAAGGGCGTGCCCTACCCTGAGCCGCTTGACACCGTTCGGCGGAAACGGTTCCAAGTGCCCCTGATCCTCTAGGGGACCCGACATACAATCTGCGGCAGGACCCCCTGAAAAGGTCTTTCTCTTCGCTGCTAGCGATGTCCTCTCCGGCCTCTCTTCTAGCTGCGTGCTCTCAACATGCTCCTGGCTGGACCCCTCGTCAACGGGCAGAGAATTGCCTATGCTAGGCTCTGGTGCCTCCACGCTCTGCCAGGTGTCACAACCTGGTTGGCTGCCAGTTGTGGTGGCATCAGCCTTCGGGGCCGGCGCTCCGGCGACGGTGGCTGCCTTTGGAGTAACTAGGGTGGGGAGGTCCAGTTGGCTCGGCGGGGGAAAGCTGGTCCGCCGGCGGCCGCATTTGAAGGCTAGAGGGAAGTCGTCTTGCGAGCTCCTTTCAGCGTGCGACCCCATCTGGCTCCTTTATTAGCGTATAAGCAACCTGTGAGGAAAAAGGAAGCAAACCTCAGGGAATCTGATAGCTCTGGCACAATCAGTGGCAGCCGATGCTGCTCTGTGAACTAGTGACCCAAAGCTTGTTCAGACAGTACATCACCTTGACCCTTTGAGACCATCAGCATTGATCCACCTAAACAGGCAAACTGTGTGGAAGAACCTTGAGCATCCTGTTCAGCAAGTGTTCAACACAATCCGTGCCCTGTGTCAAACAGCCTGTTCATAGGACGATTCCATGGAGGTGGTCGTAACCATGTAAACCCCACCTTTCAAACTTTCCCGTTAGAATGCATTGAGACACCGAAACAGCATTTCCAGACCAAGAGCACTTGAGTTTGCTCTGGCCTTTCAAAGATCATAAGCACCGCTCATCAAACCTTTCGAAAGTCCAGACATGAATGAAGCACATGGGCATGTTTGATTGCATGGCCAAGCAGTGTGACTGCTGATATACTTCAAAGCAGCTGAAAAGTCCTTGTCATGATCCTGAAGCCAGCGTTAGTCTCTTAATCAAACCCAAAGAGCGCTTACAATAGCTGACAATATCCTTCTGCTTGAACCAGATCCAATTCTCTACTCCAGACGACAAACCCAAAGCAGTGAAGATAGCATCAGTGCACACCTGATGCCAGCAACTTCTAAACTGCCACACCGATGCAATTGTGAACTAACCTTGCTTGCTCGCTGTGAGGAGTCTCTCAGAAGTCTCCACAGCTGGCCTGTTCTGATGATCGACTCAAATTGAGCGTTCGACCGCAAAGTCACTGGACCTCATGCGCAGCGGCGGGAAAAAGCAAAGCTCAGAAGTTTGTGGAGCAGTGTCCACATGCCGGAGCCAGAAGGTGTTTGATTGTGACCTCAGAAGAGGCAATTGGGTAGCTGGCTGTTGACACTGGAGTCGTAATGATCGATCAGACTGGCGCTAACATACAGTCTGCTGGACGCTTGGAGTGAGTGCACAAAGGTGAGTGATGGAACCAATTAGCGCAGAAAGAGCGGAATGCTTGTGAGTAAGGCTGATTGCTTCAGTGCACGCTTAGTGCATCTGCATTGCTCTCAAACGCGTCCCGCATCCGCTTACAGCATTTCACTCCTGATCAAGTGGCACTCTTGATCAGTCTCAGTGATCCTTCCTTCCAGGGGGTGGTGCAATTGGCGCGGCCGCCGGATGCTTAACACCTCCCTCACACCATTCAACAGACCAGCACTCCTTTCCCGAGAGAATTGTGAACTATCTAGAGCGCCCTCAGTTGCCGCCTAACTACTCACCCTGGCAAGTGCACCACTCTATTCCCCTGAATGATGTCCAGATCAGCTTCTAAATCTGAAGGCTGAAGAAATATCCAACACTGCACCCTTCTCAGAAGTCTGCATGGGCGTTTGACTCTTCATCAGGCACCTGCCAAATACGGTATCCCAAAACCGTATCTGACTTTGTTTTTCATCCTTGGCCAACATCCTTCACGAACTCAGAAAATTGAGGCTAGGTAGGCTCCAGCGAAACTGGAGGGAATGTGGGCTGCCCGCACGCTGGAAACACCTGTTTCCGCGCCAGTCGGAGTCTCGCGCTCACTCAAATTTGTATTTTCCTTGGCGCGGGCGTCCCCTCAGTGCATCTTGAACCGCCGGATGAGATGGATCGAATGGTCTAGGATCGACTTCAATACGCAAAACCCTTGTGCTCCGAGAACCGCTGGATTCGAAGATTGCAATCCATCCAACGGAGTAGCATATCAATCACGATGACCGTCGATGGCGGAGTCAAACCCTGGCAATTTGCGCGATCGAACTTAACACGGGAGAGCGGCAGCGGCCGCGCCGCCCGCACATTCCGCAGGCCGGCCGCGCCGTTAGAGTGGAAGCTTGCGTTGCGCGCATCATGATCATTTCTCTAACCTGGCAGTGGTAGGATACAGGAGCATGTAGGCGCACATCAGGATGGCGGCCGCATCCATCAGCAGACGCAGCATTGCGTTGGGACAGGCTGCAGTGTTGCACCATGATTTGCAGCCGCAGTCAAGTGGCGCACGCATTAGCGCACAACAATATGCAGAACGCTTGCCCCCTTCTCAACACGCTCTCACAAAGCAGTGGGATCTTTGTCCACCGCAGATCGTCAAGCAGACCATCCAAAGGGGGAGGCATACACGATCTATGACGAAAACGTCTTCTTGCTCGCGTGACGCTTCATTGTCGCCTGCTGGCAGCATTCCAGCTCTCTTTTTCCAAAGCCGCTCAAAGGACGCAAGGTTTCACACTTTGAACAAAATCAGTCCAAGCTCCGCGTCAGCTTCTCGTTTCCTAACGTCACCTAGCATCCGCACCACCGACACGCCGAAGAGGGTCAAGCAGACTTGTTCAGCGTTTGAGGGGTTGGGCCAAACAAGCCCAAAGGACTCTGACAGCTCGGGGCACCAACCCCCGACCAAATGGGGCCCCACTCCACTGACTGTTCTGTGGTCGGCTGTGTCTGTGACCGGGCTCTTGTTCGCCTGCTTCATCGGTTTCTCCTTCAGCTTGGAGGCCGCCACGTGGTTTCCCCACATTATCCTGACCTGCTTGACCTGGCTGACTGCCGCGCGGGTGATCGTCTGGTACGAACTAGAGCGGGCCGCAGAGGCGGGGCAGTTCCAGCCGCGTGACAAACGCCTGCCTCCAGAATGGCACAACCTCTTCGACCCCAAGCGCAAGAAGACGTTCTACTACAAATCCATCACAGGGAAGTCGCAGCTCAAGCCCCCCCTCCTTCTGCCCAGCCCAATTGACCCCCCCAGCAGCACCCCTCCCTCAAACTTGTTCCCCGCGTATCTTTTCAGGGGGGCTGCGCAGCTGGTGTTCAAGCCCCTCCTCACGGGCATCCTGTACGCCATCACGGTCCGCACCCAGTTCGTAACGCAGCTCAAGGCGCTCCACTACTGCGTTACAGACCCGTTCGCGCTCGACACCCTGGTACTCCTCTTCAACGCGGTGTGCTTTCTCGCTCTCCCGCAGCCCCTTCCGTTCCTCTCCCTCTCTCTCTCCCAAGCAAACGCTGCCACGTGGCTCCACGGCCCCCTCGCCGCTCGCTTCGAGGTCGCCCTCTGCGCCGCCCTCGCAGCCAGTCTCCTGTGGGACGTCTTCCGCTTTCTGGAGACCATGGCGCGCGCGGCGCGCGCGCGCCTTCCCCCTTGTGACGTCAGCTGGGACGCGCGCTTCGCGGCCGACTTCCTATGCGCGCTCTGCCCGGTGCTCAACTGGCGCCTGCACCCGTACGCATTCACACTGGACTTCTCGCGCGTGGTGCTCCTTCCGCTGCCGTTCGGCGTTCCGCTTCCGCTGCCAATCCCCAAGTGGGAACTGTTTACACAATCCTGGCGGGCCCTTCTCCAGGCGGCGCCGTTCGTCCTCCCGCTGACACGTGTCGCCGGCCAGGCCATCCGCGGCGCTAAACTCTCAAACCTCGGCGCATCCTTTGTTCGGACGCTGTTCGGACGGCCCGTCCAAATGAGCCTGGCGGTGTCCGTGCTGACGTTGCTGCTGCGCAGGCAGACGATCGCGTATGAGGAGGCGCTCGAGCATAAGGCGGCGGAAGAGCACAACGAGGAGCTGAATAAGCAGATGCTGGCGGACTTCGACGAGCGGCTGTCGCCCGGGGACTGGACGTCGGGAGTTTAGGATTAGCGAGTGGATGCTAGCGCGCTCCAAATTGCTGTCAATGTTCGCAGAAACGGGTCGGAGTAGCGGAAAAAGCAGCCTCGGGAACGGGACTGATTAAGAAGTGGTTAAGTAGGAGCAATAATTAGTGCACTGCTTTGAACAGGGTTTTCATGGTGCAAATCTGCCGTTTGCAAAAACCTCGTAGGGAGGTTTCTTCCGGACCCCTCACATCATGGTACCGATGAGCGCCCAAAATCGATATCATAGGCTGAAGTTACATCCACAGCATTGTATTTATAACAAGGATAAGTATAACTGCGAGTGAGGACCCATGTCAAAAACGTATGTTTCACTTGCCTTACTCAGATATGTAAGGATGCAACTTGTCTGCTGGTACTGCCACCGCTTCGCATGTGTTGCCAGCGGTCGCCTTCAAAAAGCATACTATATTGGGATCAATCAGAATGTGCAAGTACATTATTGTTATAAAAACCATCATACACAAGGATGCAAATCGGTTCTGGACGTACGTACTGAACACGCTGAAGCGGTGCACATTACTGGAGTAAAGGCAGGAAGTGATACTATGGCTAGGAAAGTCGTCATGTTGCAGTTTTCATCAGATCTGCCGCCACATTTCTTTACGCTCTCTGGCCGTCAATTCTCTGCGAGAGGCGATCTGGACCGTCCAATACTGTCAGGGCGCAAAAATCAAGGATGATAACAGATGCGTACAGGAATTGATGGTCTTCAGTAACCAGTAACTGCGTGACACGTCAGCTGCAGTGGTCGAGTCGGGCCAATCAGAGCGGGCCGGGTTTGCAGCCCTGGTACGTACCCGTAACGTCAGTGTACGTCACCCTTCGGCAGATAAAGAGGTGCTTGAAGTTGACAATGGATTTTGCTCGGGAGATCGAACAAACCAAAAGATCTAAAGCAAGAAACGACGCGCTCCGCAGTCGTACCCACCCTAATCCAAAATTGACCCTACCCTTTCCCCGGGCTCTCTCCTTAGTCAACTTTGTTTTGAATAAGACGGTTTCTGTGGTGCATGGAACCATATTCGCGAGCTCTTGAAGCACCCAATTTCTACAGACAGTGCGCCAGATAAAATAGAGGAAGCAATGAGCACCCAAGTTCTGGCGTCCGACATCGAGCTGGATACTCTCACTCCCTGCACGGAGGTCACTGCCGAGCGACCAAAGTTTGACCTGCAGGAGTGGCGCAAATATGCCGCGGAAGGGAAAGCTCCGCCGCGCAAAGAGCGACTACACAAGGCAGTGCGCCGGCCTTGTTGAGCCTCTGAAGAATTGCTGGATTTCGCTCCTGCGCCCGAAGCAGGAAGACGTCATCTTTGACTGCTCGCCAGGGGACGTTCTCAAGAGGCCTGGCTGCAACAATGGTCTGCTGGCAGCCTTTGAGAAGGCGTACAGTGGACACCTGCACCTGCACCTGAGACCTGATGACGTGTGGCTGACGATCTGTCAGGGCGTCAGCAGACATCTGCAGCACGGAGAGAACGCGGAGAAATACCGGCGGGTGTTTGTTGATCATGACGGGCAGGAGGAAATTGCGGTCAACGTGAATGTTTCCTTCCTTCCAGGCGAGCCTCGAACTGAAATTTTCGAATATTGCCAGACAAAGATTCAATATGATTATCTTCGCTTACTATCACCTTTCTTGACGCTCATGAATCTGCGACTGAAAACAAGTGAACAAGAGCGGTAGATGATCTTGACAAAGTTACGTTTTGAATATCAAGATGTTTAATGGCTTTTACTCTGCTTCTGATATGTCTGCAGCACAGTTGCGTCCTCAAATCGGATGTGTTTGTTCAAAGTGAAGGAACATTTGTTCAACAAGGACTCCACATGGCCTTAACATCTAAGGAACTACTTGCCAAATGTCGAACTGCATGTAAAATTTTGCCGGGATTTATTATTGATCAATGACAATGGATCGCTATGCTGACCACCATATGCATTGCTTCCTTGTCAGCTGAAGACCGCATCAAGTGAACAGTTTGGCATCCTTATTGGATTAAAAAGTCAATGAGGAAGAGTATTTGGGAATCATGTGTAATTACGTCCTGCACCCTCTTCCTTGGCGCAGGCGACTCACGTCTGCTGGATTGGCCCAAGTGCGTCGCCCTTATCACACAGAAGCTGGACAAGAAGGTCAAGGCCGGGGCGGGTCAGCTGCTGACGAACGACTTCTCCACCACTGACGTCATCTCCAAGACTGCTTGGCCTCTGTGAGACGACTTGCCTTTGGGATTCCGCAGGAGAGCTCAAACTTGTAGCTGAAGTACTGCTTCATGGCTTCCATCAGGAAGTTATCGGAATTCATCAGCTTATATCATTTCAAGTGCTCCTCTACCAGGTGGATTTCTCCACTACTTATTCAAGCTTTCTCAATCATGTTACAAATAAGCGGCAAGCCTTCAACCGATCGGCTGCGGATCGTATTTGGTCCAGAGGTCTTACCTTCGTTTCGTTGGTATTTTCGAAATGACTCTGTCGAAAGGCTCAATTGTGGGGAAGCTGACGTCTCCTTTCAACCGACGAAAGCGTCGGGCTAGGTTCCTTAGAACTCAGAAGCAACATTTGATTATGAGAGTTCTGAGTTTCCGGCTTTGGCTCTCGTATTGTTGGAAACAAGACTTTCTAGTTGGTAAGAGAGTCTGGCGGCATGAATGCTGAGACTGCAAGGGCAGTTTCGTTGCAGGCTCGCAAGCCTTCTCTTCGTGAATTCAAAACCCCCGAGGTGACGTCATTTCTCGCTGGTGTACGCTGATTATCCAAACCTTTCTCGTCCGAACCAGGTGACCCTGCACGGCACCCAAGAAGACTGGCAGCGCCTCCTGGAGAAGACACGTGGCCTCCGCCAATTGGATATCGGCCTCGACTGGTGGCTGGACCATTTGGAGACCGTTGTGCAGCAGCTTCTGAGCACGTATGAGGGCAGACCGGATAGCGTATGGTGGAGCCAGGTCCTTACAAGAGAATCCTACGGGTCGGGGGGGCAGTACTCTTTGAAGGGATGGGTGCGCTTTTTCTTCCCATACACTGGCGGTTTGCAAAAGGCAGACTTTGCACGGGGGAGAACCGATGCGAGCGACATTCCCGAGGGTTATGTGAAGTGCCCTTTCAAGCTCGATAACCATGGGGCCATAAGCGACTGTCAGCTTATCGCCGGATTACCCGGGGTGAGGGTGACTGAGGACGGGGGAGTCGCGCCCTGCATGGGGTGGCTCGTCCAGAAAGTGGCCGAGAAGAAAGAGTCCGATTGAGCACTTTAGCAGGCTTTTTCAGATTTTGTGGTTGTACTTCACATAGCATAACTGAAACGGCATCTTTCACCTGTGAACGTGGGTCTTGCTAAACCTTCACATCTGCAGGTGCAAACGTAGAAATGCCCATTGCGCATGGGTTTTATGAATGCAGTGCCGAACAAATGATTGGAGTATGTCGCTGAGTTGCGCATCCGTTTCGGTGGAGGATGGGCCAACAGCAGCTTCCGGCGCTTCGTCTGAAGACAATCGCACACGACTCGAAAAATCCACAAGTCGAAGCATCGCTTTCCAATGACTAGTGCTCTCGATAGGGCTTTGCATGTACCGTAGCGCCAATCATCAAGTTGCGAAGCTATAGGTTATCGTGGTGGCTACAGTCGCACGTCCTCAGGGATCCTTTCAGCATGCTATTCGTTGACTGGCGTGTTCATATAATAGTGGCACGTACTCAAATCTGTGTGCGATTGGTGCAACTGCTTCAACTTGAGGAGAACGAGACATACGAAGCTTGGACTCATCTTATGTACATCTAAACTTCATTTGTCGGGGGATCTTTGGAGACTAGTCACTCATTTTGACACGTCAAAGTTCCTCAGCATGCTACGCCATCTGTTCACAGGGAGGTAGTTTTCAAGCCCTCGACGTTAGTCGATTTTCCGCGCGATCCATGTCTTTATGACGCTATGAAATGTTACTGTTTTCGGAAGCACAGTACCTACATCAAAAAGGATACTGATACGTTGTCAGGGAGGAATGTTTCGGATCCATTCTTTCGTCCTCGAAGACCCCGCGACAAGTTCTTACACCATCTAGTCACATCCTCACGCTAGAGCTTCCGAGAAGATACATTAGATATCAAGTACTTTTTTCCAAACCGTTGAACCGAGTGGACTCATTTCATCCAGATCACCTGGAGGGCAGGTTTTGAGACGAAAAGCCACCTTTCCGAACTTGCTGGCGGTGAGCATGAAACAATATCAGGCGGACCGCAGACCCGCTCCGATGGCCAAAACGCTGTCACAGCCGTCCGATCTTCAGCTAATGAAGCCGGTCTGAGAGTGCAATTTCGGCTTCAGCTGTGAGCATCTAGGACCTACCACGTGATCAGGACCTCTGGTATGATATCTGACAAATCAGATCTGAACCGTCCAATTCGTTGACGTTCACAAGATGGACGCTGGTGATAGCAAAGAGACTTGTCCCCCAGCCATTTCTCAGATCTGCAGCCCGCCTGATATGGAAACAGCTTAAAAGCTTGTAAATAATGGTGATAGAACCCTGAAACATCAAAACGCTTGCCTTGGAGAGATGGGCCAGGATGGTGGCCTCGTGCGCGAGCCCCGCGGCCGCGCACATCCCCTCAAAGTCCGCGCGCAGAAAGCTCGCGAAGTACGGCTCGTGAAACAGCGCGCGGAACAGCGCCGCCACCGGCGCGCTCTCTGGACGGTCTCCCTCCTGCACAAGAAGACGTCCGGTTGGGCGCACCAAGATACGTGCTTACGTCAGCTTTCGATGCAGTTTTTGGAGCGTTCACGAACGAGACCCAATTCCACAGCTCGCAATATGATTATACTGTGAGTCGCAACAATTGCAAGAAAACGTTACGGTGTTTTCCCAGGGCCGTTCCAGATCGAAATGACCCTGTGTGAACCTGATTTGTAAAAGAGAAGCGAGATCTGACACCATATTTACCTCACTTAGCAAGCGCTTCGTGTGTATCGCCTTACCCAGAAGTTTAACTGGCCCTCAACCAAGGACGGTTCTGGGCTGTTTAGAAACTGGTTACATGTCCAGTAGCCAGACTTGGGCGTTGACCAGCCGCTGATCAAGGATAAACCCCGATTACTTATCCAATAACCCTCTGGTAGAGAGCCTGGTTAGCAGCCAAAACTTCCTGTATTAACCGCTCACCTGGAGTGAGTCTGTCCAGACGAAGATGCCGCCCGGTTCAAGAACCCTCGAAACCTCCGCGATGGCCGCGCGGCGCGCCTCCGGGGGAAGCTCGTGAAAGAGATAGACGCACGTAACCTTGACAAAAACGATTTCCAGTTTTGGAATGACTCATAAGTTTGTAGATTGTAGACCTACACTACTCTCCCAACTCGAGTCTAACTGTTCCGCATGTGTACCCGCCCTAGTAACTTCCCCAAAGATACCCATACTAGTCCGAGATTGACCATGTGATCGTCCTTCGCTTATGTCCTGATTGCACATCTTTAAACGATGGGCAGCTCGTATGGCTCGGTGACTTGAACCATTTGCAACCTTCGTAATACTGATCCTTTCACTTTGATTATATCGAAGACTGCGTAAAATTCGGCCGCCTCGGGACACTTGCTTCTGTAGTGTTCGAGGAATGTAAATTTTTAGTTCCTAGGACAAACAATTGAATGGGGAACCAATCTGGCTGCAAACATAATGGTAAGTGTGCTGGACTGAGGAGGGATAAGAACATGCCCGTTCAATCGGATGCAACTTACTACGTCCAGGGATCTGTCCCCAAATGGAAGGCTTTCTGCGCTAGCCTGGATATAGCGAGGCCGCGACAGCTTTCGGAAGCCGTTGACTTGCATGTCAAATCCTGCAAGAACGACAGCACGTCGAATTTTCTCCAGCACTCAGTTACCTCTTGATGGTTTCAAGTTTCGTGCTGATGGAAGGAACGACGAAGACGTCACCATCTGCGATCTTTCAAAGGATGATGACGCCTCAAATTTACTACTTGGACCAACAAAATTATAAGTTCACTTGCGAGGATGAGACCGCATCTGTTATGTAACTTTGATCTGGCTGCAATTCACAAAAAGGTCGTGAAAGCGCTGCGTTGCAAGAGACCCAGCTTACTCTGAAACTTCCTTTGACAACTAAAATGATGAAGACCTTAAATGGACCGAGGAAGCTCACTCTCGAAGTAATCCATGTTCTCCTCCGCAGCTTTCAGGTAATTTGGGCTGAGATCCACCTGTGATAGCAGGCCTTTAATTGGATAACTTGTTCCAAAATATAACGTTGGAGAAAGGCTGCAAGAGATGGGGCCAATTCTGCTAGTAACACTCGTGACTGGACTCTGATGCCTTGCAAAGTAGAATGGTGCGACACAACCAGTTGATCAATTCAGACTCAGGGACTGATCCACCTTCCAACCCGTCCCGAGAACTCCCTTTGACGAAAGCCGAAGTTCGATAAGATTCTCTATGCACAGACGGTTTCGAGCGGGCGAGCTTTCGTTGCCGACAAACAGGTACTCACCCGTGCCTTACTTTCGGACGGGCAATCATTTCCAAAGATGCTTCTCCAGGATCAAATGTTTGCAAGATATGATTTTTATCTTCGACGATATACCCGGATTCAAGGCAATCCATTCGGAGTCGTCGTCGAAGCCACGAACACTCACCCCGTACGTCCGTGCGGACGGGTAGTTGTCCTTGAGGAAGGTGAGAAAGCGTCCGGTGCCGCAGGCCAGGTCCAAAACGGACGTCCGAGAGGGATCCCTCCCGCGCATGTAGTAGTGAATGGGAACCAGGGTCTGCCGCTGCATTGCGTCCTGGAAATGAAGGGCGGACAACTTCTGGGTTTTCCGTTTGCGCGCTCTACATTTCTACTTTCGCGCTCTTTCGTTACGTTCAAAAGATGAATGCGGTTTTGAGGAACTCGAACCTTCCTCGTAACATCCATGTCTCTTTTATGTTGTGTTCCGTTCTAGCGACAAGAAAAATGGTGCATTTTGATAAGCAAATGCCTTTGAGCAACATTTCCGAGCGCAAAAACCGAGAGTTGTGCTGACGAGATGGCAAGAAATTTTGGCGGGCCTAGCCAAAAACACCCCTTAAATCGAGTTTCCCACAAAATTACCAGGATTCAAAGACGCGTACTGTAAGACGTCGCCTCAAACGGCAAATGCACGAAAGACGCTACAAGGAATCGCGCTCGAAACTGCATGGCTCGGTGACGAACGGGCTTTTCATATGCCCATATAAGATTGTTTAAGGCTCAGCTTCTCCTGTGCTCCCGTCGGCACCCTGTCGGGTACAAATGATTTTAAGCCTTGTTGGTGGGCACTTTTAAGAGCACGAATGTAACTCAAAACCCGACTCTATCAGGCAGTACAACTATCTCGCGACTGCCCTTTTCTTAAAAGTCTTCAGAAAGAGCCACACGAGCCATCAAGCTCACCACTGAATAACAGGTTGCGAAAGTCCAATCGACACTGACCATCCTGCAAGTTGCCCTGTCCACTTCTGTGAATGGAATTTGATTACGCTCGCATTCAAATCCTTCTAACGCTTCCTCGGATTCGATGCATGTTTCCAACACGACCAAAACACAAAAGGGGAACTGAGCGAAAACATATTCATGAAAACCAACAATTCACGTGTCCAGGTATTCGACGCACTGGTATTCGAACAAAGCGTGGTCATATTCTTCACCAATGAAGCGGTACGTACCTGGGCTCCACAGAAGAGCGCCTCGGTACTGTGTTCGTACACGTGTGCCGAGTGGTCGGCTAACCAGCCCCCGGGCTGCCAATGGAAGTGCTGCAGATAATACTCCGGTTACGGCACCCGGTCGCTGGTGCCTGGAACTTTCGTTTCTGTGAAAAAGTAAAACAAGGGCCAGTCTGAGACTGTTTCTGGGCTGTACATATTCCTCGTCTCAGGACCGTTGCATTCAGCCTTGGGATTCTGGCAGCTTTCTTTTGGCCGCTGTTGTCATGTTGAGGGCAGACTTGTTTCTGAACTGCTCCCAAATTGGGCTTGATCGGGAAACAACAGCGCACGAGGCGCAAAGCAGAAGCTAAGAAAGCGTCTCCAACTGAAGAGAAGGTCAGACTGTGTTTAAAATGGTGAACCCGAATCGTACTCATGTTAGCCGCACATACGAATCACACCAAATCAAAGCCTTGCCAATAGACAGGATAGATTGGTGGATATTGAAAGGCTCTATAAGCTGCGCCTCAAATCATACCCTTCCTTAGTCGCCAGACTCTGATAGACCGTCTCTTTTTAAACGCGGCAGGTAAGCGCAGAACGAAGTCTTCCAGATCTTTTTCCGGAAGGCTAGTTTCCAGTTTCTTTCCGCTCAACCCTCCAAGCCCGGGGGCAGCAACCCTCAGTCCTCCACCTCACAGGACGCAACGAAATGATTCTTTTTTGAGAGCTACGCCGCTAGTCGATTATACCTACCGAAACCGTTTCTCTAAAGGTTTCTCAAAGCCTACGGTTTCGACGACGCATATCCCTCGAAGTCCGGCGATCTTGCAGCAGCTTCTCGTGGCGGTCTATCCAAAAGGCGGGGCTCCACTGGCGGTGTCTCGGATCCATGTCGTACGGTGCCCGGTAGATGCCCCGTCTGCGGGAGAACACACGGAGAGACTGCCCGGTGATTACCGTCGGTCTGTGGTACAGCTGGCAGAATATTCCAAAAGGAGGAGACTTATCCCGCTTTTAGGTAGGACCATGAGAGAAGCGCGATCAAAAGAAACTGCCCGGTGCTTACTCCCGGTCTGTGCTAGGACTGGCTGAGAAGCTCGACAATCACAGAGAGCCCGGCAGGGGTCCCGTCGGCTCTCACCGGACGTTTTCCCCATCCATCTTGATCAACTCCACGATGCCGCCCGTCACAACTCGATATACTTCATCGGCCGTCCCGGGGGGCAGATCTTCCCCGTGGGGAAGCCCCAAGAAACCCCCCCCGAGGACCTGACCGACCAGAGCCGTCTGCAAGTAAGAATGAGACAATGTTCATTTCAGGTTTGGACAGAAGCGGCGAGTCTTTTGGATACGAGAAATTCTAAGAAAACGTTACGCACTCTCACGACTATCATACAAAGATGGATCCATCTCGTATCCGGAATACGGTCTCTCCACGTTCTCGAATAAGATCGTGTTGAGATTTGCATTCCTTAATCGATATGGTAACTCTCCGCGCCGCCGACACAAATCAAACGATTGTGATCGCGGGCCTTGAATTGATGTTTGAGGCAACTAGAACGTCCTTCTCCACTTGGAAGCTTTGCGATGAAGGGTTTGCCATGGGGCTAAGGATTCTCGATTTCGAGGCAGGGAAGTTGCTGGGGTTAGTAAGGGTTTAGTCGCTCAGGTTTCGATCTCGGTCAAAGCGGTCAACCCGGTAAGGGTTTCGGCCAATAGTTTCACGAATAAAAGTGCCTTCCCGTTCTTGAACATGTCGTGTCAAATAAAGGGAGGCAACAAGAAGGGGAGCACGATGATACTGCGGAGGTATTTTTCCGCCACAGCGGCGAATGCCCTTCAGCGAGCTTACAGGTGCGCTTATCGGACGCCCCACCCCACCTGTCCGAAGAAGAACGCCGTCCGAGCCGCCGCGTACAGCGCTTGCGCGGCGCCCCGCGGGGTGGACACCAGGTCGCGCGCTCCCGCTGACGTCATCATCTCGCCCAGCGCCCATGCTGACGTGGGCAGCTTTGCTGACGCGAACGTCGTCCGCGAGGGGATGCCAAGAGTGGAGGTGGGCTCCCCTGGATCAGCCCAGTCGGGCACGTTCACACCTCGGAGATCCCTCCTTCTGTCGGCGGTGTGAACAGCCCCCTGAGAGGGCTGAAACGGCGCTCCCAGCGGCTGGTTAACAACCTTCGAAGCAATCTCGGACCTTTCCATCTGAGATAGAGCAACTTTGCCTACCTTGCCTTTGATTGAGTTACGCTTCTTAGCGGCGAGGCCGCGCGCCCCATCGAGAGCCGTTGATTCGTACGATCGACGGCTGGTGGGTTCTCCTGAAACTGCCGCCCCGCGCACCCATTTGTGAGGATTTCCCCCCAATGTGAATGCCCCCCCAACTTCAGGATCCGGTCCAAAGAAACCTAACCTCTTGGAGAGCTGCCTGGAAACGGCCACGTGGCGTAGGATCTGTGTAGATTGGAAGGAGGGGTTAGTGAGGGGAATGGATCGAAGCTGGTGCGCTTGGATGGGTCCACTCCTCAGCTTCCCATCGCGGTAAGTCAGCCCCCCAGCGACTGTGGAAAGTCTCGCATCGGCGCACGTGGTCGAAGCAACAAAAGCGGACGCCATTCTTGGCGGCGCACTGGCGCTTTTCGGAGGAGACTTTGTGAGGAGATCTTGCAGAGTCTCCTCATTGCTTTTGGAGGAGAACAAAGATGACGAGAGAGTAGAACAGGCAGATAGCAGATAAAAGGGGTGAGATGGCAAATTATTGTGGCAGTACTGAAAGGGTTTCAGAGGCTGAGGACGGTTCCAACCCAGGAGCGTTGACTTTGTGACGGTCAAACCTTCTCAGTCATCACAGCTGTGCAAAGTTTGATTCACAAATAGATGGCTCGCAGGCAAATCATTCCATCCAATGTTCTTGGCAGCACTCGTTTTGAGAAGAACTGCGGGACCCTAACAGCGGCTCGACCAAGAAAGACGCTGAGCCGATTTGGTTTCTTGAAGTCGTTGACTTTCTCGGAGATCACAGCTGATCCTACTGCCTTTCGACTGGCTCGCTTGAAGACACGTTCCATTCGATGAAGCCGCCTACGTGTCGGCGCATGGACGGCGGGGAGCTTTTTAAACCTTGAGACGGGAACTAAAAGCAGAGATCGTTAACGAAGTCGGTTACCCCTCTAGATCGGTGGGTTCACGATAACGGTTTAGGTTGACTTCGGATGCAGGGCAGAAAGCAGCGGCTCCTTGGATTGGACCTTCTAAGTAACATATCATCTCCGACTTTAGGTTTCTTAGTGGTGATTCCGAACAAGAGACTTCTGTTCGTGGGTGTTGATACAGAAGGTATCCAAGGTTGATTACCTTCAAATGGCGGGTGCTGCGTATCTTCGTCTGGTTGTCAATTCTCCTTGCCCATTTCAATGTGAACAAAGATGCTTCGTTAAGTTTTAGGATATCCATGCTGTTTGAGACCACGTCCGCGCTTAACCATAGAAGAGTCTGTTTTGGGTTGGGAAGAATCGGACAAATTCGAATGTTAAATGCAAAAGACGGGTCGGATACTCACAATAGCGAACTATTTCAATATGATGATCGTGTTAGCTGATTGGTGGTATCGCAAATCATCATGGCCACCCGGCGATGAGCGCTGCAGACAGTCTGAACATTGAAACAAGAAGAAGAAGATTCTTCGATCAGACTCCGGCCATTCGATTCGAGTCTCGGGTTTAGACCGTCGGTGAACTCGCTCGTTTTGCAGTCTGGTGTCACCCTGCAGAGTAGACTCATTCAGCACTGTATGGCCCAAACTGATGTTTAAATGGGCATTCGCACCGGTAGTCGGACGCGAGCTGCCTCCTAAATGGTAGTAAGCAAGCTCAGATAGTATGGGCGGTATTAATCAGTATGTGACTATGAAACGTACGTAAGCCTGTGCTTCCAAAGTAGGCACAGTGGATCTCAAAGGCCCGACATTTTCCAAATCAGCTGTTGCGAGCGAAAGCGAGTCATCGAGATTCACAACACGTCCCTCTCGAGCAAATCCTTATTGACGTCTACGTCCAGACTGAGCTCATTGAGAGCGACAAGACAACCTTGAGTGAGCGAAGCAAGCTATAAAACCACTTTGAGAAGCGAGATCTTCTCTTCAAAGAATCAAGAAACGAAAGCGCCCTCCGCCAAACACGCCCTCCCAAATCAGCATCGTAAGCTTTCAAATTCGCCGTCCCCCCCAGCCCTCATGTGGTCAGTATGCTAGCCTGTCAATTCGCCTACCTCAAACACGAGCAATCCAGATTTTGGTATTGCTTCGAATTAAGATTGAAAGCTGCACTTAACGCCGAAACTCTAATGATTTCTTGGTACACTTGGTTAGAATGGTAAAAGTCTAGTATAGCTTCTGCTACATGGCATATGCATACAGTGTATCGGCCCAACATTTTAGTTGTTCAACGGTTGCTTGAGTAAGTCACTACTTGCCGTCACTAATGCTCTAATTGCGTGCATGCAGAACGCACCAAGCTGCATAGCCGCCCATGCACTCACTCTGGGCGGTGCATATATGTATAACGCCAAGCCGGCACCGTCCGCGCCTGGCATGGCCTATGTGTGCAGTGCATGGGCGATCATTCGAGGTATCGTGAGCAGTCGACATTTGTGGCCGCCCGGGCGGCAGGGCTCCGTCAGTCGAGCTCGTGTCAGATTCAATCTAGCTTCGCAGCAATATAATCACTGAATTACCAGCATGATAAATGATCAGTTTTGCAGTGTGGCGCGGCGCCAATTCGATGACGAAAGAACATGTTGATTGGTAACAAGCTGGCCATAATGATCATGAAGCATGTACGTGCGCGCACGATATGAACCATGCGAGTCACTAATATAACAGTCTTGAGTTTGAAAATATCAATTGCAAACTACCAAGCTAGTTCTTGAAGGAAATACGAGCATGCAGTGCCAGATGATGCGTTGGGCCCAGGCTAGTCCACACAGCCACTGTACTGGACAGCGAGCCGCGCATTCTCTATCACATCAAGCGTAAATCTTTTTGAAGCCGAACGCATTCTTTACTTTGCAGATACTTCCAACTTGCTCACACCCCCAATCCGAGCAGTTTTGAATACATACTTGGTGTCACACTCTTGCCAGCCAAATCCTCCAAGTGAATGATACTGAACACAACCTCATAACCACGCCCAATCGATGCATTGTTACACGACGCTGCTCTCTCTAACTCGTCGAACTATTCAAAGAATGTCGCCCGCTTCAACAAAACGTCCTATCTTACTCTTCTTCTCTTACTGCTCTCTTTCGCACTCTGCAGCCCCTCGTAATCTATCACACCGTCCAAAGAATGGACCATAAGCGCCACTTGGGCGACTGTTCCCTCGCGCCCGTCGGCAACGGCCCGTGAGAGGGGCCCCATGACGGCCCACTCTTTGGAAATCAAAGCGGGCCGAATCATCAGCTCTAGTAGGATTGCGGCGTTTGCGAGTTCCTGCACAGCACGGCAGATGCAAAGTTAGTAATAAGTAAAGTACATGAGCGAGGCGACGAAACCTGATGCTATGCAGTCATGACAAAAGCTAGAATGCAGGCTAAGTGGCAAGGCCAGCCGGGCGTTCAGGCGTTCTCATCGGCGTCCTGGCAGAATCTTTTGTGAGCTTTGAGCTCGAATTTCCAGGATATTGCACCCTCATCCAGCGACGCCGAGAAGCGATCCGGACGTGGCATCGCAACTCCATCTGACCAAAGCGCCAACACCAATGCGCGGATCGTCTTCAAAGTGGACCATCCAAAGGTTTTGAGGTTGCTCGAAAAGCGCCTGAGATTTTTAGCGTGCCGCTTCCACGTTGATACGGCACCACGCTTCCATCTAGCCAAGAGTACGGGATCAAAATGAAAAGCCTCGTGCGACTGCCGCTTACCTTGGCCGACTGGGCCCTCTTGACCATAACCCGCCAAGCGTTGCACCGCTCTGGGGTGGCCCTCACCCCTCCCAAGCATTGCGGCGCCAGCGCCGCTTCCATATCCAACAGATCCATCTTGAGCCGTGCGAGTGCGGGCTGCTGGCCCTCCACGAGCCACTTCCCGGGACCGGGGGGTTTCGAGATTAGGGTTTCCGCGGGCAGATCCTCCACCTTTCGGGGGGTTTCGGGAGAGGGATCCCTCGGGGCGCCGCCACTGACGTCAGCGGCGGCGGGGGGCGGGTTGTAGGGAACGAGCGCGTTTGTGTCGGCGGGGAGCGATGCGCTCGTCTCCAAGGGGGCGGTGGGGTTCGGGGGTTTGGCGGCGGACCCCCCCGGCACGAACTGGGGGAAGGATTGCGCGTGCGGGAGGGGGGGGGCCTCCGGCTTAGGGGAAGTTTGGGGGGGTTTGAAGAACGCGTCACCGAAGGGCACGGCAGGGGGGCCGAGCTCCGAGGGCGCGGGATTGGGGCTCCGGTGCAACCGGTTGAGCGCCACCCGTTTCGGGGGGGAGCGCGCGAGGCTGGTGAAGGGGGCGCTGGCGACCCCCCCTAGGCCGGGGTAATCCAGGCCCTCGGCGAAAACTGCCTGGAGGTCGATTTCGAGGCCCTCCAGAACTTCGAGGTCCGCCTGGCTCTCGACCAATGGGTCGGCGCCAGCTGGCAGCCCGAAGGGGCCGGTTGCGGGGGACGCCTCGACGCGCCTCAGCTCTTCTAGGAGGAGGCACCCGTGCGGCCGGTCACACCAGTGTGAAAAGGCGCGGGTGCCTTTTTCGGCGCTGCAATGGCAGAAGGGGCAATGGACACGTGGCACCACCAGGGGCTCCCCGCACACGCACCGAGGGACCGCTCTAGTCTCCCCCGCTGTTCTTTCCCGTTCTAGCAGAAGGTCTGTTGCTCTGAGGGTCTGCCCTGGGGCGTGTTCCTCCTCTGCCAACCTGGGCTTCTTCCCAGATGTGAACGGGCCCTCGTCCTCCTCTCTTGGCCGCTTCTCTTCTCTCGGACGCTTCCCCTCTGGTCCAAACACCCGCTCCAACCCCTGACGCAAGCTCCCCTCACAGGCCGCGAACTTCTCCCGTAAGTTGGCCTCTGCTGACGTCACCCCGTCTGCTGACGTCACCCGAGATCTGACGTCGTTCAGCTCCTCCAAAGAGGTCACGACCGACCACGTCCCCTTGCGCAACATCTCCTCCTCCTCCACTTTCTCAGCATTCCCGTCCTTCTCGGCGGCTTTGACTGCGTCAACCACGCCAGCACCATCCGCTGTAACCACCTTCTCTAGTTCCTCTTCCTTGCCCCCAGCCGCACTCCCGTCCTTCTTCTCTTCTTGCGGTTCCTCCAATCCCGTCTCTAGGGCGGTCCCACTTTCTTCCCCCTTAACCCCGACATCGGTGTCCATCGGAACAGGCCTCTCGGCGTTAGCAGCCTCCCCGTCCTCTTCCATTGACACTGCCACCTCCTCTGCAGCTGCCGCCCCAGCCGACGGTGCAGCCGGTGTCAAACCCTCGGCCTTGGGGCCCGTCTCTAAACCCTGCGCTAACACAGGCTGCCCCTCGATGGGCCCCTTCTCAGCGGTGTTCTTCAGATGCTCCTCAACTGCTGGTGGACTCGGCTGAGCATTGAGATCCGGCAGGAGAAGGGCGGTTTCGTCTTTGCTTTCTCCACTTGTGGCGGGTGCGGATGGATTGGACGCAGGCTTGGGGGTTGGGGGGGGGGGTGGCGCGGGTTTGCCAGTGAGGAGCAAAGGCCCGGAAGGACACGTCAGCAGCCAGTAGTGGGCGCCATCAGCGTCCGAACCCAGGGGGGCGGGCTTCTGACCCGCGTCCGAGAGGGTGACGTCAGCGGCGCGCTTGGCGAGCGCCTTGAAAAGACGTAGGCGCTGCAGAGGGGAGGACATCGATCAGGAACGGGGTCGAGAAAACCAAAGAAGTAGTCAGAGAAGGAAGAATGAAGTCGAGGAGAATAGAAGGCAGTAATTAAGAAGCGATGGAAAAGTACCTTAGGGAAAAGGCTTTACAACAGGCACAAAGGGGTAGAACACCCCTAAGGTTGTCACAAGCAAAACAAGCTGTCTAAGCTGGGTCATATGTTTCAATCTCTGATAGAACGTCGGTCAGATGACAATCTCGGTGATTGTCTCAATCTCGGTTCATTTATTGTCAGTCAACAACTAGAGCTGGCGCTTACCTCAGACAACGTCAGGTCCCAGTAAGCGCACTCCCCCATCCGGTCCGCCAATTGCTGCTCCGGGGTCCTCTCTTTCTTCTTGGGGGGTTCCGTCACCCTCACAGTCAACCCCCTGCTCTGTGACGGACGCCTTTCTCTCCTTTCACCCCCCTGACTCGCCCTCAGGATTGGCCCCCCTGGCCGGCTAGGACCTTCTGCGGCTGCCAGACGTTGCCGTTTCGCCGGCCGCCCTTCTAACACGGGGACCCCCCTGCTGACGTCGGCAGGGCCCGCCTCCGCTCGTGCGCGAGTGAGGACGCTTTCGGGGGCGGCGGCTGTGACGTCAGCGGGCGTACCAATTGGGGGAGCCGTGATGTCAGCAGCTCCGACGTGTCCGGCGGTGCTTGCGCCTAGATCCACGTCCATGGGTCGCAGTGCGCCATTTTCTTTGTCGGCAGGGGGCTTCCCAGCAGCTTCCGGCGCACCCCCCTCGGCGGTTTGTTTCGCGGCGGGAGGCTCGCTAACGATCTCGGCCTGAGCAGTCACGGAAGACACTCCTGCTACTTCCACGCCAACCCCCTCACTCTCCCCCTTCGACGGCTCTCCTTGTGCGTCACCACTCAACTGGACCGGCACCGATGGCTCTCCATCAACGGGTTCCGCTTTCACGAGCTGCAAGCTCGACTCCCCCTCCTTTCCCCCCCCTTCTTTCTCAGCCTTCGCTTCCCCCCTGGCAGACTTCCGGCGCGTGTACACAACAGGCTCCCCATTCGGCCCCTTTTCCTGCTTCGGCGTCGCTCCGCTCCGTAGTGTCGGCATCTCGCCGTCTTTGCTCCGCAGGCCGCTGCGCGGCTCCGCTCGCACGGGCTTCGCTTCGATCCCCTGCTCCGCCAACCGCTTTCTCTTCGTGTACTGGTTCTCTCTCTTCCGGGGGGGCTTTTCCGGTTTCGCCTCTAACCTCGCCTCTGACCCTGAGGGTTTCGCGGCTTCCACAGCGGGCGCAACTCCTCCAACCTCCACCACCTGCGGTTTGACGTCCGCTTCTTTGTCCGCCACAGGCTGTTTCGCACTCGTTCCGGCCGGCGGTTCCGTTTTCGGAGCGTCCGACTGCGTCCCTTCCAAAGCCAGCAACGCCAGCTTCTTCGCCTTGGTGTACTGGTTCTCCCCCTTCCGCTTTTCCCGCCGCTTTTCCCGCCGGGCCTCTTTCGCAGCCTCCTCCGCCAGGCGCTTGGCCTTTGTATACTGGTTTTCCCCCCGCCGCTTCACCTCCCCCCCCGCAACCACCAGCTTCTTCGCCCCCCCCTCAGCGAGCTTCTTCGGTCCAGGCTTCTTCGCCCCCCAATCGGCAAGCTTCTTCGCTTTCGTGTACTGATTCTCGCCCCGCTTCTTCCCCTCTTTCTCCTCCTCCGCCAGTCGCTTCTCCTTCTCCGCCCGCCGCCTCTCCTTCGCCGCTCGCCGCTCCTCTTTCGCCCGCGCAGCCTCCTCCGCTAACCTCTTCGCTTTGGTGTATTGGTTCTCGCCCTTCCGCTTCGGCTCTGCCGCCTCCGCCACTTTCTTCGTCTCCGCTTCCTCTGCTAATCTTTTCGCCTTCGTATACTGATTCTCCCCCTTCCGCTTCTCGCGCTCCTTCTCTTTCTGCGCCTCTTCCGCAAGCCGCTTCGCCTTCGTGTACTGATTCTCCCCTTTCCGCTTCACTTCCGCTCCGGGCTCCGCCCCCTCCTTCCGTTTCGTGTGCTGGTTCTGCGGCCCCTTTTTCAGCTCCTCCCCAGCGCGCTTCTTCTTCGGCGACTTCTCCCCATCAGGCGAGCTCCCCCCACCTTTCACCCGCCGCAAGACCTTCACTTCCTTTCCGCCAGGAGAGCCTCGCTCCCGCGCCGCTGACGTCACCCCCCTCGCGATCTTCAGCCTCGACGCCACGCTCACGCCGGCCTTCGGCTTTCGTTCAGGAGATGAGGGCACTTTCGACGGCGACTTGTCCCCTTCCTTCGCGGCCGCCAACGCGAGCTCCTTCCTCTTGGTGTACTGGTTCTGGTGCTTGCGGGGCGGCAGCTGCGGCACGGGTTTTCCCTCCGCCTCTAGTTTCGCCGCCAGCTCAGCCAGCTCCTTGCGCTTGGTCCACTGGTTCTGACCCTTCCGCTTCTTCTTCTCCTGCTTCTTCTCAGGGGTCACCACCCCTTGGCTCCGAAGCGCTCTCGCCTCGCCACCTGGCGCCGCCTCAGCCGTCGACCCCGCTCCCGTGGGCTTTACATCTTCTACATCCCCCACAAGCTTCGTTCCTTCCAGGGGGGCAGTCCCTGGGGCACTTTCCCATCCCCCGGGAACAGCGACGACCGCAACTTCGGAGGCGTTGCTACTTTCCAGGGGCTTGACGGAAGGTTTGACGTCCTCCGACGGGTTCCCGACCTGCACGGCTTGAACTTTCACTGAGGGCTTTGCCCCTGGCCCGACTCCCGCTTCCGCCAGAGCTTCCGCCTCGGCTCTCGCCTCCTCTGCTAACCGCGCCTCCCGAATCGCGGGCGACTCCGGGGCCTCGAGCGCCAACACCCCCGAGAACCGCTCCATCCGGAACGCAGCCCCCGGCACCGTCTCGCGCGCAAACCGCGCCGCCGCCTTCCGTTCCGCCGTTCGTTCCTCTGCGGCCCGTCGCTCGGCGCCCTTCGCAGACAGCGGTCTGCCCCTCTTCTTGGGTCCCCCACCCTCTCCCGGCGATCGACGCCGGGGGATCCCTCCGATCCGGACCTTGACGCGACGCCCATCGGCGCGGTTTCGGCCGGAGCCCTTCTTGCGTCCGGGCCGGCCCGCAGTGGGGCTCGCCAGCGGAATGGGGCCCAGTTCGCGGCAATTGTGGCAGAGCCAGTCTCCGTCGGGGATGCGCGCGAGGGGGGGGTCGAGGCAGTAGGTGTGGTACTCTGCGGAGCACTGGTCGCACAACAAGACCTGAGAGGAGAGGGAATGGGCGGGATGTCAGACAAAGGTCTGTCCTTGGTTCCAACTTCTTTGAAACTTCGATGCCACAGAAGTGGAAGAAGCAACACAGCAAAACTCAAGGAAGCACAGGCTTCCGCACAAATGAACGGAAATGAACGGAAATGCTACTCACACATTCATCGCTTTTGTTACGGTGCCAGAACTATAATCCTTCCAGTATAAGGCACTGAAAGAGGCATGCCTCTGTTACAACCTGCACGAGATTGAGTATCCTCCAACGATCTTCCTTTCTTTTAATCAAGCTTCGTAAGGACGAGCAACGCACCTGTGCATCGTTCTCATCAATGCCGCACACCTTGCACCCCTCCCACTCCCAGGGGGCCTTAGGCAGCCTACCCCAGACAGGGTCACTGATGCGGATGGTCAGATCCTTCGGTGGACGGCTTGAGGGCTTGGGCAGAGGGAGGCCGTCAGGGCCCAGGTTCAAAACCTAGCAGCACAAGCAGTTACGATAGTGTTAGCGAAACCACCAAGAGAAGCTCCTGATACTTCAGCTTCATGGAATCTGGCAACTCACGAGGTTGGTACAAGAAAGCCCCAAGAAAAGCTCCTAAACCTTGCCTTCCTTCTCGGAACCTGGCAGCACCAGAGACCAAAGAGAAGGTCATTGAAGAAAAGAGGGTTCTCAATCCTTGCGCCTGTGAACTACAAAAGAAGAGAGATGCAGCAAAAGGTCGTTCTTCTATTTAACGGCTTCAGAGACATCTACCAACAGACACTGCAAGAATGAGCAAGACAGCGTGCATCGCAATCGAGCACTAAAATACCAGTACGACTGATTGATCGACAAACGCTTGCATTGGCATGCCAACTGCTTAGCAACGTGAAAATTTCTGAGACGCCCTGCGTATAAGAAACCAGCAAGCTCAGACAGATACCAAGTTGCAAGATCAAGAAGAGCCTTCGTCTAGCACTCACCTTCTCCTGGTAGAGGCGATCGAATAGCTCTGACAACTCCTCTGCTGTCCTGACCTCCTTGCTCTCTGGAGGGTACTGCTGACGTGCATTCTCCCAGACCTGTGAATCCAGGAAAGCAGGTGAGCATGATGTATGTTCAACAACACTTGTCAGATTGACGCAACGCTACAAGAAACTGTGAAGCCTACGATGAAGACGCAGAAACTTAATCAGGTTGAGGTCGGTGCATAGCAGCCATGACTTGACAGCCCCACAGCAGACTGGTTCAAGCGCTTCAGGAAAAGCGCTTCCTCGGTTCACGGACTTTACTAAATGTCTCCGGCCTGTAAGAGCTCTCGAGAAAAAGAGACAAAACGTTAGAGGTTTTTAGTCCCTCCCACATCTAGATAGTGAGCGAGAAAGAATCTCACCATGCGGACATCTGCAAGAAACAGCTCAAGCGAACTTCCGTACGCCCGCGCCGTCAGCCGCATGTCAATCGTCCGCAGGTCCACCGTCCGAATGTAGCCGCAAGGCACTTCTTCGGACGCCGTCTCCTCGTGAGTCCGCTTCAAGCCTCGCTTCTCTCCGGCGGAAACCCTGCAGATTTGTAGAAAAATTGGCTCTCAATCTCTCAAAATGCGTGGGCAAACGCAGGTGCAGCTTCTGGTCAGATCGCTTCAATAACTTCAAAGCAAAACGGCATCAACTGAAAGAGCTGGGTTGAGAGCATAGCATATGCTCACCATAGAAGTAACGGGATGAAGGCCAACCATGTCAACTTTAAGCACGACGAAAGAGGTAAACAAAAGTAGTTTTAAGAGGCTTCGGCTTGCATGATGGCAACAATCAAGCTGACATTTTTGCATGATTGGGGAGACAGGAGCCTGGGAGCACAGGTGCGTACCTGAACCCTTTGGTTCGGACTCTGTAGGGTTCGCTCTTGATGCGGAAGCCCTCGAGTGAGAATCGGTTCTCAACCTCGTCAGGCAGGTTGCTGAAGATCTTGACGTCATCTTGCTCCGCGACAAGTCGCACGACCTCCCGGCACATCCTAGTCGTGTGAAACTGGGCGAGGGACGGCTTCTCGGAGTCGACGTGGTACTGGTGCGCGCGCTCAAGGACGGTTAGCGCCATTCTCTGCGGAACGGTATTGAAAAGGGTTTAATTTGAACACTATTTCAAATTATCGTTAAAAAGAAAACGACATCGTTTACCGTCTTCGGAGTTGGACACATCAACTACTGATGGATCGAATGTCCAGGGTGTGTTTTAACTCAAAGAGCTTCTGAAAGCACCATCTTCGGGTGAGACATCGAGCAAACTCGAGGGTCGTTGGGATTCGTTTGTTCTCCCAATACGGTAAGTCTAAGGCAAAACATACTCTCACTTGATAATCCATGGGCTTTAAGCATCCCAAGGTTACCAAGTGCTTCAAGGAAACGGCTTTCCGTTGCCAAAAGCTCAGCAATACTACATGCACTCGTTGAACATCTTATCAACTTGATGAGACTTCTGCCAGAAGAAACACCTACCTTCATAGGGCCCCCAGCGCTGCTCCTGTAGACGTCCCTGCTGATCACCTTCTCCAGGTCCGCCCTTGCCCATTCCGGAGGCCCCATTGCCAGCGCCGTCTGAATCCTTCCCCGGATCTTGGAACCCTGGTTCGAATTCATCGGGCCCAGCCCCTCAAGCGGCGACCACCAGAACTCAAACTTCTCGAGCGGCTCCATGGGCTCCTCGTCTTCAAGGGCTTCGTGAGCTGACACTGGCCTGGGCTCTGCAGACTCTGGCGGTACTGAACCGAACCGGTCGGTGCCAAGAGAAGGACCCCCGGTCTCAGTGACGGGCCCCTCGTGGCCCTTGAGCATTGCAACTGCCCTTGCCAGCTGGCGCTCCGCCTCAGCCAGAACCTCGGCTTCCTTCTCAGCCCGGCGAACGATCTCGACGGGGGTGAGAATGATTGGAAGCGGCACCGGCTCCTCCTCCTCTGCTAAAGGCCCCGTTTCCGGGTCCATGGTCGCCTCTGTACTTCCGACCATCGGAACCGGTGCCGGTTCCGCAGTCGGCGGGGCCTCTTCCTCGACAGTTGGTTCCGGGATTTTGACCTCTTCCTCCAGAACCCGCCTCGCAAACGCTGGCCACGTCAGCCCGTCGAGCAGCTCCAGTCCGTGGCGGAACGGGGATCCCTCGTGGTGCGCCTCAGCCCCCTTGTCCATCCCGTTCAGCTTGGCCATGTTCCGTGACATCAGCAGCGCCCACGGCGCCTCCCCGTTGGTCAGCCCAGCTTTCCACTTGGGCGCCCGCGTGCTGACACGTGCTGGCACCTTCTCGCCCGAGTCTGATAGACCTCCTCCTGGGGAGGCCTCCTCTGCCGGGCGGGGCGTTTGCGGAGGAGGCCCAGCTAAGCCGGCCGCCTCGCTGGCTTCCCCTTCTGGCGCTGGGAAAGAGTCGCCGGGGGGAGTGCTCACGGGGCCCGGGCTGGTCTCCTGCCGGGGCGAGAAGAGCTTGGGGATCCCTTGCGCTTCGCTGCCCAGCTTCGCAACTGCGTGCCTGACGAGCTGCAAGTGCAGCGCCGCCACAGCTTCCGCGGCGTCTGGCTTCCTGCTCTCCTTGACAGCTGGCATGCCATCCTTGCCAGCTGTCGACCCTTCCTTGCCAGCCGTCGCCTGCGCCGCACCAGCGGTCAGAGGGCTTGCAGTGGGGACCTTGGACTTAGGCTTGCCCCGGGTGATGCCCTCGAGGTTGATCAGGGATTTGGCGGATACGCTGGGGTGGATCAGTCCGGAGAGGAAGACGTCCAGCGGCGGGAGGTGGATGCTGGGCACGGAGCTCAGTTGCTCATACACCTGTGCAAGATATAAGGACAGTCAGTACAGGTTGAATCATACAAATGCCAGATCACCTCTTCATCATCGATTGACGGCAGACAGCTGTGTGCGCTCTTAGAGTGCTCTACATCTGGATCGAAAGGCCCTTCTCACACTAATGAAAATCAACCCAACTCCTCAACCAAGAGTGACGAAGCATTCCAACACAAATCGAAGACTTTCCCAGTCCGACTTTCTTGACAGGGTACTGACCACACGAGACACAGCTAAATGTACTCTCAGCTTATCGTTGTATCTAAGTTGGACCACGGAGGTCTGCATAAACCTCCTCTCAAGCTTTCCAAACTCTTGGTGAAGTCAGTCCTGCCACACCTTAACTTTTCCATGCTTAAGTAGATCAAGGCTCATGTTCCAGTACTCAAATTCAAGCGGCAGAGCTCTGAGATGTAAGCGGCAGAGCTCTGAGATGCAAGTGCAGGCTAGCCTCTATCGAATTCACACGGGTTAATTTTCACTTCAAATACCCACCTGCAAGGCTTCTTGGACCTCAGCAATCGACACGCCCTCCAAAACCAACTTCTGCCCATCCTCCTCCTCCCGCTGCGCGTGTCCGCTGTCACTGAACAGCACCAGCTGTCGCCTCATCCCCTCCGCCACCTGGCGCTTCGCCCGGACGGCCTCATCGTTGGCTTCTTTCTCCTCCGCTCTGGTTGCCGGCCGGTCCAAGTCCGGCTTTGACGCGGGCTGCAGTAGAGAAGGCCCGGGGCCCCCGTGCTGCATGAGCTGCAGGTTCTGGAAGGATCGGCGGGCTTGGGTGAGCCGGGGCGACGCCTGGAAAAGGTCCGCGATCCACCTGCAGGAAGATATGCAACTACTGTGTCATCTCGGGCTGAGCAAGTGACGTGCAATGGATTAAGTTTCTGGAATCGGACAAACTTGTTTTGAAAGACCTCGGATAGGACAAACGATTGCTTTGCTTTAAAAGTTGAGAAGCCGCTTCACGACTATTCAGCTAGCAGGTGACTCGCAGAAGATCATTGACAGAAGGCAAGAAAGAATGAAAGATCGATACAGGTAATCCACATAAGAAGACGCTTCTCTTCGATCTGAAATAGTCGAGGTGAGGTACAACATGTGAAAGGCTACATGACAGTCCCTAGATCCTCAGCGGCCACAACTCAGCTCAACTTTTTCTTGTCACAGGACTAGCAAAGAAGAAACCTCACTCTACGACCCTCTGGCTGCTCCAGGCCAAAAAAATCGAGAAGGAGGAAACTCACTGTACGACTTCTGGCTTCTCCAGGCCAAAGTGGTCCCTTTCGAACTCGTCCCAGTCAATCTCCTCCAGATGCTGTGGCGCCCGCGCCTCGAAAGTTTCCCGCCAGGCCGCAGCATATGCCCGCCATGCCTCCTCAGGGGAGCTCCTCTTCACCAGCAGGTCGGACCCTGTCAAGCGCCGATGGGCGGTGCGCGGCGTCTCCACCCCCTGAGACTGCTTCTCACTCCTCAATTGTCGGTCTGGGATTGACACCGCCGGAAGCGGTTTGGTGTCCAACCGCTTGGGCCGCCCAGGGCGCCTGGGGTTTGCCAATGCTTCAGCCGCTGTTCGGAGCGGGGCGAGACCGGCAGGTTTTGGGCTTTCGGGATGGTCCAGAGGAATCTGGGTGTTGATGTGCAGGGGCGCGAGCAGGGGGGGTAACTCGGTGTTGATTCGAAGGAGGTTGGAGGGCTGGCCCGAAGATGCAATTGGCCGGATCGTCACCCCTTGCATGTACTGTGGCAGGACAGCTGGCGCGAATGCCGGCTTTGGCGGGCTCTCCTTTTTAGTTGCGGGAAGCCCACTCAGCAAGTCCGGCTCCATGCGGGCCGTTGGTCCATCTGCCGCCTCCGGAGATTGTACAGGGGAGGGTTCAAGAGGTACTGCGGGTTCGGGTTTCGGCGCTTCGTCAGGAGGAGAATCCAACCGCGCACCTTCTCCTGGTCCAGGGGGAAAGTCCAACCGGGGGCCTTCTCCCGTGCCTCTGAAAACGGCCAGCATGCCTTCCTCCGCCTCTTGCTCGCTCACGTGCCCGTTCCCACCCCAGAGGGATCCCTGCGCCTTGTCCTGCTCGCTCCCCAGCCCGAAGCCCCAACCGAGCTCCTGCCCCTCCGACTTCCGGCCGTCGCCGAGCGACGGGCCAAACCCGCCGATCGCCGGCCTCTCCGTGTCTCCAAAAGCCACATGGAAATCCTCGTCCCAAATCATGGCCGTGTCCAAGTCGTGCAGGTCCGCCGCCCCGCCGTCGAAGCCCTTCAACCCCTCAATCGGCGGCCCTGGTTTACCAACTAGGAGCGGGCTGATCGTGGGCTCTTTGACCAGCGGCTTGGCGCCCTCCAACAGCGGCGTTGTGTCTTTCTCCTTCGGAGTGATAGCCATTTCGGTCTCTTCAGGAATTGGGGCCTGCTCAGGAACGGTGGAGAGCACTGGCACTGGTTCAGCGTTCCAATCTTGCGCAGCAGGAAGCAGCGCCTTCTTCTCCTCCACAATAGCAGCCGACTCCTCTCCCCCCGCTACCGCTGCCTCCTTCACCTCCGCCGCCAACCCCGGCGCCCTTTGCTCGAGACCCCCGGTCTTTGCAAACGCGCTCTGCTGGTTCTGTCCCAAGGGCGACGGCGCCGACAGCCGGAACCTGCCGTCCTGCAGCGAGAAACTGCGCTGGATCGGCGACCGGGGGCTGCGCTGCACCTGAATAGATTGGGACCGTCCGAACGGGCTTCTCGGTCCGCCCCCAATGCTCCGCTCCTCCTCGTCTGTTCTCTCCTTCAGGCGGCAGGTCACTGTGTAAACCGGCTTCCCGTCCTCTCCTGCGATGACTTCGCTCACGTGCACCAGACCCAGGGTGGGGTCCTTCCAGGTGGACCGGTAGCCTATCGCGCAGATCCGCCCGGTTTCGACGGTGATGTGCTGGGGATCGACGCTGCCAAACGACTCCACGATGATGTCATCCACTTGCAGCGGCAGCCGAGGCTTGAGCGAGCCGAGAGAAGCGCCCAGTGCCGGAGAGTGGCTCCTTGCCTTCTGCAGCCTTGAGGGGAGCATAAGCTCCGGAACTGGGGGAAAGGGCGGCATCAGCAGCGAATCCGGGACCAGAGGAAACTCGCCCGAGGGGGACCCAAAATCGACGCTGTTGCGGGGCTCCTTCAACCCGTGCCTGGGCCGTTTGGTCCTCCGCACGCTCGGCTTGAACACCTTTTGGAACTCGTCCAGCTTTGACGAAAACTCCAGCTGAGAGTTTGCCGGGCGGCCCCGCTTCCGTGGGAGAGGCTTCTCGCCGGGCTCTCCCGTCCAATTCTTTGGCTTGCGCCCCCGCTTCGCCCCCTTGTACCTGCGGCCCCCTTCTCGGACGTCCGGCAACTGCCCAAGAGACGACATCTTCCCTGAAGGGGGGCGCCCCCTGCCCCTCTTCTTGACCAGAGGAAGCTCGCCTTCATCGTCGAAGTCGTCCGTGAAATCCGGTGCAGGGCCCCTCGCCTTGATGCGAGCACTACGGATTGTTGGCGTCATTCCCTCTGGTAAACCACCCTCCGCTTGCTGTGCAGACCCACCCCCTGGGAGGTCGACTTTCAGGTGCTTCTTCCCGCTCAGATCCACAACCGAACCCCCTGCGGCGGCCAAGCGTTCTGCAAGTTTCGCTGCACTTGGGGGCCGCCCTGGGCCCTTTCTCTTCGGGATTGGAATCCCATAGGCATCCAAACCAGAAACCGGCTCCCCCTTGGGAACAATCCGAGTCACCCCCCCGATCCTGATCTTCGCGAGCCCCGAGCTATTGATCACGATCCCTACCGAGCTGGGCGGGGGCCCCTCCGCCCGCGCCTGATGCAAAAGCGCCTTCCGCTCCGTAACTTTCACCGTCCGCTGGCCCCCGCTCTTCTTGCCCACAAAGTGCCCCGCAACAGTCCCTCTCGGCGCGCCCCCACCCAGTCCTCCCATCCGCAGAAGTTCCTCCGCTTCCTTGATAACATCTTCCTCCTTCCTCCCCACTCTCAACTCCGCCCCATCATCCATCGCCGCTTCACCCGTCATCAGCCTGGCTTTCTTTCCGCCTGTTTGAGTCAAGGAGTCTCTGACAATCTTTGTCTCGCTCCGCTTCCTCTTTGCCTTGTTCTCACCCGGGTGGCCTTCTGAAGGAAAGGACGAGCCCGTAGTTGCTGGCAAGGAGCCGGATCCTCCAGCCGCTAGCGCTGCGCTTCCGAGGTTGTTGGACGAGCCATTCCCCTGCAGATGGAACACAAAAATTCAGCCTCAGAGATCCACCGTCTGAAACGTAATAACTACTCTTCTCTTGCCAGAAAGAGCAGGATTTGCGATCTTTGGTTTCAATCTGAACAAATGAAGAACTTTATGCAAGACCGATCGACACGGCAATAACGTCAGAAGAGAAGGACTCATGACAGACTTATGACATTCGAAAGGCCCTTTCAATATGCAGTGCCCCGATATACTGTGCAGGGTACAGCAACAAGCCAGATTGTTCATCTTTGCAAGCACTAGTCCTCCACAGTACCACGAAGTCCCCGTTGCCTTAAGAGCCTCATCTTGACGTGAATATTCCTGATGCTGAGACTCTCCTCAGAATCCGTAGCTTTGAGCCAGGGGTTCTGTAGCTCCGAGACAGTCTACAGTAACACATCAAACAATCATTTCATGGGACCTGATTACGACTCAACCCTTCTCAGGTCAATGTACCAGTCAGCGTGTCAAACTTATAAAAGTCATGCCAACATTGCCACCCCCCCGGCAAAGGTTCCCGGCTCTTTGACTGGACAGCTGCGCTGTTTTGTCCTACCTTCACACAAACACTTCCCTGACCAACGGAAGACCCTAATCACTGAAAAATCAACGATTGAGGCTTACCTGCATCAATGAGTCAGACGCTCGTCCCGACGGCCCCGCCACATCACTGCCTCTGACTTGCTCATGCGCTCCCTCATCGTCGCTCCCGCTGCTAATGACCACCTCCTCTTCCACTGCCTCGGCCTGCTGCTGCGGTACGCCCCCCTGCCCCCCCTCTGCGTCAGGCTTCGGGCTCGCACTTCTCACCAACCCAAAGCCGAGCAGCTCCTTCCTCAGACTCTTCGCAAAGTGACCGGGGAGCTCCTGCAGCTTCCGCAGTATTGTCTCCGTATCAGACCGGCTGTGCCCCTCCGACCTCCCCAGGTTACTCGCCTTCCTGGGCCGGTGTCCCTCCCGAGCGGTGCCTGTCCCCTGCGGAAGCGCCTTTGGAGCCCTTGGCGGCGGCCGAACCACCTTCGCCCTCTTTTGCTCTAGGTCCGCACTCTTTGCGTGCCGGACTGCCTTGAACTCTGCCTGCAGCTGGTTGACCTCCCCGTCTGAACTGGCCTTGAACCGATCGACCAGCTCGTCCCACTTGTGCCGGTTCTGCGACCAGTACACACCGCAGCGGTTGCACAGCGTCTTCGGCCCCTCTGGTCCTGTACGCCAACGAGGGCTCTTGTTCAAGTGGCACACAGAACACTCCCGTGGGACCTTCCCCCCCGAGGTCGTCCCAGAGCGCCCTGACACCCCCGCTGACAATCCTCCTTCCAAAAGCCCCGACCCCGACTGTTCCTCTTCAATGTCGCTCTGCCGATTTGCCTCCTGTTGTGACAAACCGACAGCGACGTTCTGACTGGGACCGCCCCTCCCCACTGCTCTAACTCCTGGAGGCGCTTTGGCCCGTCGCTTGACTGCGGTGACGACGGGTCGGTCTGGAGCCGGGAGAGCCAGAACCGCCGTGCTCGTCACCCCCGCCCGAGGGCTCACCAGCCCCACAGGCGACTCCGGAGTCTTGTAAGAACCCCCCGTCCTAGTTGTGGGGCGCACCGAGGGGTCTCTGTCAAACACCGCTCCGGCGTCGGGCAGCGCGGCAGGCGAGATGGCCCCTGCAGAAGGCAAAGGCTCCTCTTGAACCTCATCCGTGACGCTCAGGTTTCGCAGGTGCAGCGCAACCTCCGGCCGTGCGTGGCCAGCGGCCAGGCCGTTCAGCTTTGGCGCGGCCACTGCAGCCTCACGTGCGTCTAAGCCGAGGGGGTTACGGGCATGCGTGAAGGAATTGCGAGCTCTGGGGCTGGTCGCCGCACTGGAACCGGTTCTCACATGAGACCCTGGCCGGGCCTGTAGTCGATCACTCTGCCTCACGCCTGGGCTGCTGACATCAGCTGGAGGTGCCTGCTTGGGGGCTTCTAACTGCGAAGCCTCCGGCAAAAAGGCGCCTGCAGCTTTACCTGGGCCTGGCCCCACAACAGCCCCCTCTTGAGAACCCCTCTTCGCATTTTCCAGTTCCCCCACCACAGAAGCATGCGCTGTTTGCTCCAAGAAACCAGCTACAGAATCTCCAGCGGCACCCCCGGATATTTGCCCCCCAGGCAATGCCTCTGCGGTCTGCTGAATACTGTACCAAAGCTCGTTCTCTGCGGACTGCATAGTGGTGCTTCCGGTTTGGTCGGAAGGGCCCCCATCAGATGCTGCTACTGTCATTGCCTTGCGTCAGTGCATCACTGGTTGATCTGCATGGGAAAGGGGCTTCTTAGGGCACAATAGGAAGGTCCTGTCCAATAAAACCTCCCCAGATACTGACCAAGATTGCCAATCAAATTCAGATTTCATGCGATTGACTTCTTATACTACCTTCAAGCATCACTTTCAATGTGAGACTCACAAAACAAGATACGGTGGCGTTATCCATTGACTCGTTAAGGGGCATCATGGGGTTGAAACCAGGCTTAGCTGCAGAAAACTAAGCCTGGTTGTATACCCGACATTTACATAAAGGTGGTGTCATCACTGTTGTCTTTCAGCTCTTCAGAGTGACTGTTTTCGCACAACGACTACAAGAACTCCACAGGAAAATCTATACGAACACTTGCATACAGAAGAAAACTTCAAAGGAGAATGATCATCAACAACTGATTAATGTGCATTTAGCAGACTGGATCTATCCTTTGAATGATCAACCATAGCGGCCCCTCATATGGATCTGCAATTTCATCAACCACTCAAACAACCTGTCCAAATCAACAGCTAGTTTAGGATGACAGGTGCTAAGGTACCATGCGAGGGACTCAATTGATGAACCAATAACTTTTGTAGTGAGGAATTCCAACTGGTCTTGAACAAACCAACAAATAAAGATGAGGACATGCACACACGGACGCTAACACAAAGCTGAAGGAGCTTCCTGCTTTAGGGTTTCCTGGTAATCCAGCTAAACTTGTTCCAAGTCAATTCTTTCGAGTCAAACATACTGTCGATTGCAAATCCAACAAACAACAGAAAGAACTTGAAAAGAAAAGCAAGCCCTTGATGGCCAAATGGCAGATCGATGCAAAAAGAAGCTGACAGAATACAAAGCTGCCAAGCAAGTCTACCTAATTCAGGTAGTAAGACCAGAGCCACCTTTGTCTTTAGAAATATCCTCTCAAGTAGCTCTAGCGCGAGGATGACCATGGAGCATGAATTCAGTACCTGAGTGCCCTATCAGAAAAAATCGAAAGCATGACGTGCGCCCCCCCCAAACTGAGCTGAACATTCAATGAACCACAAAAGCAAGATCTGCTTAGACCTCCTCCATTTCACCTTCCCCAAGACCTAAGGAGAAACATACCTCAAAAACTCGTCCTAGCTCACATCTTGACTGCTCCTTGGCGCATGCTTCCCCACTTTACGCAGTGCCTCTGACCAAACCCTCACTTCATCATAACTTTTTCTTCCAGATCCAGGGAGAAAAGGCTAACAGTATTCTTCAACCCTGCAAACAAACTTGCAAAAGGAAGGCCGCACGGTGTCTGCAACCAGAAGTCTTACATCTGTAGCTGCCGTTGGGCTGCCGTTCCCCCATGACGTGATGATGAGGGTGGCGCGCTTTCCCTCCACCATTTCTCGTGACCATTCTCATGCAGGCTTTACCGTCTTCCAAGTTCCCTATCGAGTTTCCAAGGAAATGGTGACTGGTCCGATCTTGTGAAACTGTCTCGAAGGTTTTCACATCTTTTCGTCGCAAGCGTCCACAAACCCGCACTTCCAATGACGTTGTGGACAGGGTACAGATTCAGAGGCAGTGAGAAAAGGCGTTCCTTGTATCTTCCCGAGTTTGCGATGTTTGGTGCGTGTCTGACCACTTCTTGGCCGTCGATGGGAGACCAGATTCAAAACAAACGACGGGCGCCGTGCGATAGCTGCCCATGTGGTCCCTCGACAGCAATTTGGCCAAACCCTGGCAACCCTCCTTTGTCGGGGAAAAATCACCGCGCCGCCGCGGCCGCGCAACCACTGGCATGCAAACCTGAAAGATCGAAAATGGTGGCCCGCCCTTTTCATTGATCCACGTCATTCTCATAAGCCGGCTCCGTTTCTGCAGCCACTGGCATCTATTGAGAATGGGCGCCAGTCGGTACCATAGGACAGTTTCCTACGAGCAAAGATCTTTGGTCTGCAAGCTTCTGATCAAGTGATTGTTTGAGCTACAACAATGGCGCTCGAATGCTGCGGTTAGATTCAACTGGCACCAGATTTTCCCTTCTCCTCTATCCAGGTAAGATCATTTAAACATCGGAGCTGGTGGTACATGTTACATTTCAACCATTCTTCTCCTGAAAATACAGCATTGCATGCATGTCGATGCTTTGGTTGCAACCATTGATCACTTCTTCCTGCTTTCAACCTGAGAGCACTTCGTATCCTTTCTCGGTTTCTTGGGGGTGGTGCAAAAGAACGAATGTAAAAGATCGTCAGGTCATTCTTTGCAAAGTTGTGCCCTTTCTTAAAGCCTTGCTTTGACCCCCAATCCGACTCTGCGTTGGCTGGTCATCTGCTCGGTCTTGGACTGCGCAGCATGAAACTGCAATTGCTGAACTGAGTTTGAAACTTCCAAGATCTGTAATCCAGGTTTGGATTACATCGCTTGGTGGTCAGTCAAGTAAAGTTTTGCCAACACCTGTTTTCACCAGCTAGTTCTGCAACCCTTCCATGTTCGACTACTCTTGTTTCATCGATCGATTGATGTCATGAATTTATCTCTGTCTCCCTTGCACACGAGCTGGGTTTAGGCACACCATGGAACACATGCACTAGAACCCGGTATTTGGCAAAGCCATCAGGAAAAGCTAAAAGAATCGGAGGACTCAATTTGTATATATTGAGTTAACAAACTCTTCTAAATGCTTCTGATCTAATGTGTGCAGTTGATTGACGGGCATCACCTTGCATAAGAGGCTGGATCATTGAGAGTAGTTGTGATGGCTAGTAGTAGACTGCAGGATGTGGGGCGGTTGGCTCGGGGACTAGGATTGGTCGCCGCACAGGGGATCGGAGAGCTAGCAGGCACACAGGCAGCCAAGAAAGCCTTGGCAGGCGACTTTGGGGGTGCACTTATAGCAGCCACAAAAGGGGGCGCCGAGGTGATCGTATCCCTGCCGGGAAAGACTCATGCTTTTCCTGGAGATGTCACTGTGCACCGTCACGCAGGAGACGGGACAAGTTCTAGGAGTCCACATGGAGGGGTGGTGTCAAGTCTGGATAAGACGGTGGCTTCTGCGGTTGGGGCGGGGGTTGAGAGTGCGCGCTCGGCTGCGGCGCAAGCTGGCTTAGATCCATACATGCACCAAGCGGAGCAGAGTGCCAAGTCCACGCTTGAAACCGTCGCTGGCTCTCTGCATGGCGCCAGCCAGCAAGCGGAGCAGAGTGTCAAGTCCACTCTTGATTCTCTCAGGGGCCAGCGCCCTCTTGCAGAGTTGGGGGGGTGGGTTACTGGAACCGGAAGCAGCCTTCAGTTTACGGCCACACAAGAGGCAGCTGGGGAGAGGCTTACCGAGGCGGGGCAACAACTTGGGAAGGCGCTTGGGGAGGCTTTGGACCCCCGCAGTGAGCTTGGACTTGAGATGCGGGTCGGGGACGCGTTCCGGCAACTAGAGACGGCAATTCCAAAGGAGCAGCGGGCGCAGCTGAGCGCGGCTATCGACGGCGTGTCGCTAGCGTCACGGATCGCTTTCCATGCGGGGTCGCATCCCGACAGTCAGCTCCGGAGGGTTTTGAACGGTCAAGGGTTCGATTTGCAGGCTGCGACCCGAGAAGTGACAGACGTGCTGAAGCAGGCGCGAAAGGGGGGAAGGTTATCCCCTGAGTTAAGGCAGGGGTTAGAGCAGGCGGTGCAAATTTCCAAGCAGGTTGATCAGCAGCTTGATTTGCGAGGGGAGCTGGAACGCGCCGGTAGTTCCATTCTCAAGGCTTTGTTTGAGGCAGATACAGAGCCAAGCATCACAAGGAAAGCAAGTTCGATTACTTTTGCGCGAAGCCAGCCTGGGTTTGGAGCTGACGTCTGGTCCTGGATCGAGAACCGAAGCAACTCCCACGCAGGGCCCACTTTACACTCTGGTCCCGGTTCAAACCAGAGCGCGTCAGCAGGAGTGCAGCCATTGGCGGCAGGCACACACAGCCCCGAGGAGCGGTTGGCAAAGCTCAAGGCGATGCCAGTGTCCGAACACTCGCACCGCATGCCTTCCGAAACAAACACGGGGACGGTGACCTTTGTTGCCCCAGGACACGAGTCGAAGCTTGAGAAACAGAAGGGGGACGCCTCGGACAGTCGGAGAATGGAGCAGACTAGCGGTGGAAGGGATATGCACGCAGCGGGGGCGGCTCTTGGGATTGATGCCAAGCGATTGGACGAGACAGACGCCCGGGGAAGGGCGACGAGCAGTGAAGATGCCAAGACGAGCAGCTCCGATGCAGGGAGAAGCCCTTCAGAAGACGCACATTCTGCTACGAAAGCTAGGACGACCAGTACAGATGTTGGAAGGAGCGGTTTGGACACTGAGAGAAGCCCAGTGGGACGTCCAACGAGCGAAGAGACAACGAGAGTGGGTGAGAAACTTAAGGATGGGAATGCGGCCGAGATCGACGAGCCGGTGGTGGCGCAATCGAAAGAAGTACGGGCGCGGCAGCGTGCGGAAGAGTCCAAGAGGAAAGAGGTGGAGCGGAGAACGAAGCAGGCGCGGGAAAGGAAGGTTCCGGCGGGGCCCATGGCACGGGTGTTTGGGTGAGTGCCTCGTTTTGCGGAAAAAGCCTCTTGATTACATAGAGTTGCTGTGATTTTGTAAGCTACATCATACTGGTGACGCTAGGGTACTGTGAGGTGGTTGTGCGGAACCGAGATAGAAGATTCTCGTTCTACCTTTCACTTGTCTTCCATGTATCGACCTCTGCGGCTTCCCATGAGAATCAGAAGACGATGCTCTCAAATGTGCCCGAAACGTCGTGCGGGATGGATGTTCACGTTTCCTCCATCGTTCGGACTCCGTCCGATCGTGCACTGATTCTGTCTGGGCTTGAGGAGTGTTCACACTATCAGTCTGCAGCTTTCAAACGGCTGGCTTATCCTCAAGGTAGGTGTGTCCTTCTTCGCTCCCCACACTTTGCAGAAAGTAAGGCTCCCTTTCAGTAGATATCGTCGCTGGTCAAGGTTCTCCTGTTTGTTCCGCAGCCACTTCCTTCTCATCGAACTCGCTTCCCAGCTTCTCTAACACTGCCACGTGTCGTATGCAGGTTCGGCCAGATGGCAGCGGGAATGGCATTCGGCACTCTAGGCGAGTCGGCGGGGCGGCTCATGTTTGGCGGCGCTGCTCCTGGAGGGAACGCGTTCATGAGCGAGGGAAACGCGGAGAGGCTTGCGGCGGGCTTGGCAAGGTATGAGGAGTGTGCCCAGTACTCTCGGAAAACTTGACACGTTAAGTGCCGTGACATCGGGGTTCATTGTTGCCTCTGCTGAACTGACCGTGCTTGTTGGACGCTGAGTTCATTTTCTGATTAATGTGATTTGTTGTTGGTATTACTCATCATTATTTAGCTTTTGTGATGATTTATGTTGGAATACAGATTAGCCGTCTTGATGTTGCTGATCTTCTCTCGTCTCACGGTAGTCTTGAATTGTCTAGGTGGTAGGGTCTTCGACCCGCTCGGATATCGCTCGGTGCGTTTGTCGTGAGGAGACTCATCAATAGAGGCGGCGAATCTCATCGTACAAACCGCTGCTCGGCAGTGATCTTGCTCAGTAGAAGGGCAACGAGCAGCGAACCCAGCTAGAGGGTATCTCGATATTTTGGTGGTTCCGCTTTCTCCAGATGCTCGCAACTGGCCCACTTTGAGAGCCGCTCCACGCATCCTGCACAAAACATTTCGTTGATCGGTTTCAGTCAGCTTATACGTGTTTTCCACTTGCGAGCATCGGGGCGAGCATCTAGAACGGAAGCATTTCTCAATGATTCCACAAAAAAGACCGAAATCAGTTAGAGAGTCGAACCAGATGAAGGTGAAAATAGATCTCCTGCGCAGGGTGCGGGGCGCCGCTTCGAAGCTGGGCCAGATGCTGAGCAACTAGGACGGGGCGTTTTTTCCACGAAAACCAAACACAAAAAGAAAGCACACACCAATCAGGAATCAAAGTAAAAACGAAGATGATCCTTCGTGCAGGATGCGTAGAGCGGCTCTGAAGCTGGGCCAGATGCTGAGCATCAGGCCGGAAACGCTATCTCAAGAATTTGGACACGGCGAGAAACCGCAAAGCATCAAACGACAAGGAAGAAAAAGAAGCTGATTGTTTCATGCAGGATGCGCGGAGCGGCTCTTAAGCTGGGCCAGATGCTGAGCATCCAGGACGAGAGCGTCATCCCCCCGCAGATTGCCAAGGCGCTCGAGCGTGTGCGGCAGGGCGCTGACGTCATGCCACGCAAGCAACTAGAGCGGGTGCTGGCGGGCGAGATGGGGCCCGGCTGGAAGGGCCGCCTCGCGGAGTTCGACGACCTGCCCATGGCCGCGGCGAGCATCGGGCAGGTGCGACAAGTTTCTGTCATTCTCTTAACCTTTAATCTTACTCTGTTTCCTTCTTACTTACTAACCTTACTGTTTTTCCATGGTCCTTCTACTGCGTTTTCCCTCTTCTCACTCAACCTCTTAGTTCCGTGGACGCTTTTCGCCACAAGCGCAACGAAAGTGGTCTTTATCGTTGCAGTTCAGCCTTATTCTTACATTGAGCTTCATGCGTGCGTCTTAGATTGTCGCTCTTCGTAATTGAGAGGCTGAGACTCAGTCGAATTTTCAAAGTAGGCGAAGCTTTGGGCGAAGCCCCTGTTCTTCCTAGTTTCTTACCGCAATTGAGGGCAAATATGGTGGCCTCGAGCGCTGGGTAGGCGCGGGCGCGTTTGCTGTCCATCTCTGCGTCCTTAAAGCTTAACCATCACCACAGGACAACGAAGAAAAAGTGAGTATTTCAAGCAAGTTGCTCAGTCATGTTGCGGAAGGAAAAGAGTAAATCACAGCCGTCAGAGTCACTGAGCAGTATTTTCCACAGGGAAGTATGCTGCGCGCGTGGAAGAGCGCTTCCAAGGACCCATCGCCTGAACAAAAAGAGGGACAATCAATCTCCTAAAGCCGAGGGCGTTGCCGTCAATCATTTTGAGGTCACTGCACGACCCCCAGAGGAGATCATGCTTCCAGCACAGGGGGACGCTTACGAAAGTTCTGATACAAGTACTGCGACCATCGTGGACCTGTCACTTTGTCTTGGAGGCCGAATGGATTCAAAAGAGTTATGGTCCTCCGACAGGTTCACCCCGCCATCTTATAAGAGAGTTACGAGGGGGCGTACGACTTGTTCCGTTGGTATTTGACGAGGTACAAATCTCACCCAAGTCCCAAACCTCTGCAGGCTTATCAGCGGGTACAGCAGTGCCACAAGACTCTTAAGGTAACCACTGTCCTTTATTTTCCTATATCTGCAGACCCTTGGTTCGGAGTCGTCGTTTAAGCTGATCTTGAGCGACTCTTGGTCTGTCGGCAGGTGCACCACGCGACTTTGAAAGAGGAATACGCGGGGGGCGCGTATGGTCCCTTCCGTGAGGTGGCCATGAAGGTGCAGTACCCCGGTGTCTCCGAGAGCATTGACAGCGACATCGACAACATGCGGCGCATCCTCGACTGGACGGACGTTGTTCCCAAGGGCCTATATCTGGACCACGCCATCAAGGTGAGAGAGGCGCTGACGTCACTGCTTCGTGTATGACCAAGGTTGCAGAGGTCGCTAGATCTTTGAGCTCATAGGCTGTCAGAGTCTGCGTTATCTAACATGCCGCGCATTCTCGACTTGGCTGGAATCGTCATGAGGGGCTGTGTCTGAAGCACGCTATCAGGGTAGGAAGCGTCGGTTCCATTTGTTACAACCTTTCCTTGATCCGAATCTCTTGAGGTTTGTGTAAATAAGAGGTACAGCAGGTGGCCAGCTGTTTTGAAACCAATTCATGAAAGCAAGTTAATCAGGGTTATCTAGGGGTGGAGATCCGAAGCCTATTGGTACAGGATGGGGAGGCTTTGCCCAAATCCAGTCTTCCTAAGCCGACCCGGCTTTTGGGTAAAAACACGCTTGGAGTAAAGCGTCTACGATTCGGAGGCGCACAGTCAAGTTTCATACCCAACTCTACTTGGGCGTGATCTGGATTCGATCGAATGTGATCCTCACGTTGAATTCAAAACCCGCAGATTGCCAAGGTCGAGCTCGGCGCCGAGTGCGACTATGCGCTTGAGGCGCGGAGTCAGAAGCGGTACCGCGAGATGCTGGGAGACGACCCCGACTTTTACGTTCCGCAAGTGGTGGATTACTTGTCCACTAACAAGGTGCTAACCACGGAGCTTGTGCCAGGTGAACCCCGCGGCTGTAGAAACCCAACCGCATGGTTAAGGAACGCACAATGGCCTTGATCCTTTTCTTCCAAGATGCGGGCGAAGAGTCAAGCAAAGTTGGTTAGGGAAGAGTCGGTACGGGTTACGTGAACGTACGATGAAGTGGAAGTGATAAAAGAGTGGACCAAGGATCCTCTAATTCACCTATCAGGTCTCCGTAACCCGTGCTTCCTGTATTCTGAGACGTTTTCCACGAAGTTCGTTGTGCAATGACAATGGGTCAACAAAGTTGCACCACAAGATCAGGGACTGCCGGAGCAATTGGCTTGAATGAAGAGATTCTTGAAAGAGGACTCTTACTAAGACAACAACACGGGAAAGTAGTATGCGGAGGCGAGTAGAAGGGAAGTGACGAGAGGACCAAAATGCAGCATTTAAAACAATTTGACTTTCCGCAGGCAACTCCATTGACAACGTGGCACGCATGGACGAGGCTACGCGTAACCGCGTGGCGGAACGGCTGCTGCGGTTGACGCTCCAGGAGCTCTTCGAGTTCCGCTTCATGCAGGCAAGTCTCGCCGCGCTAGTTGCCGTCACTTGCTGTCAGTTTGTTCACATCGGAGCAGAGTCAGTTCAAAGTCTACTAGGATTTTGCTTTTGATTGGAGAGTTTCGCCGCTTCTAAATTATAGACGTCGGAAAGATTGTTTGCTATTATTGCTGTTCCCCTCTGTCAGGGTTTGACTTGCTCTGGTCAACATCCTGCTACAGGGCGTCAGTTTGGCGGTGCCACAATCTGGAATAATGCCCGCCGTCCAATTTAGCGCACGAAGAAGGTTTTGAGGTTGAGAAACGGTGTGCTTGTCTGAAGTTAGTACTCACCACGGCGGCCATCCTATGCTGCTCAAGCAAGCCTCGCGTCACACTTTTAAGCAAATGCTCCATTATTCGTCAACTTGTTTCAGATGGAAGCTTGTTTAGCAAGGACACTGTCTGGCGCTGACGTCAGCAGAAAGTTGGAATTTCAGTTTCAATACAAGCTGTTGACATAGACCTTTCCTGATCGACGTTGAAGCGACTTTGAGAATGCAGATCGCCGCCACGTCATGTTCTGACTATGCTAACGTCACGTCCGCTGCAGACGGACCCAAATTGGGGCAACTTTTTGTACGACGAGGAAACGGACCGCATCTATCTGATCGACTTTGGGGCTGCGCGCGACTTTCCCAGGGTATTCGTTGACAACTACCTAGAGATGGTGAGAATTTCTGGCTTTGTAAATTGACAGATATTGGTTACCTTTACACCCCTTTACGCTTGTACCAAGAAGTGGAACAGCGGCGTTGGGATTCCATCAAAGTGTAGTCGATAGCAATTTTGAAAGTGGTGAGGTTTCCTTCTGGAACTTTGATTGCATCAAGTGTGGTTTGAAGCAACTTCAAAGTGACGCCGAGATTGAGCTTTTTGGAATCCGTGAAGTCGTCGTCGGTCGCTCTTTAGAGATAATGCGACATGGGCGCCGGAAAGTCTGCTTCTGCGAGCCAGAGCTGCTCGATGGCGACGTCAAATACAGGTTCCTATGTTTCTTCGCCCTAAGAAACGCGTAGAATGCTAGCCTACCGTTGGGTCCGCTCTCTGTAAGAAAATTCACTGGGAAGAAATGGCTAGACCGGTGACCGTTTGGGTCCGTTTGGGTCTGCACTTGACAAAAACATCCCGCAGATTTTGTCCAGAACTACAGCCTCACTATTTTCCACGTGTCCACTTCACCCCAGTCCGCCCTCCGAAGTTCGTCAAAGCACTGCTCTTTGATAATCCCCGGTCTGTTTTCGCAGGTCCGAGCATGCGCCGACAAAGACCGGGATGGCGTCATCGAGTACTCCAAGCGCCTGGGCTTCCTGACCGGGGACGAGTCCCGGGTCATGTTGGACGCGCACTCCCAAGCGGCGTTTGTGGTCGGGATCCCGTTTGCCAAACCGGGCGGGTTTGACTTCAAAACCACGGACCTAACCAAGCGGGTTACGGCCCTCGGGGCGGTGATGCTTCGCCACCGGTTGACGCCTCCCCCCGACGAAGCGTACTCTTTGCATAGGAAGTTGTCCGGGGCGTTTTTGGCGTGCATAAAGCTGGGGGCCACCGTGCCGTGCCGAGAATTATTCTTTAAGGTTTACGACAACTACGATTTTGGAAGCAAGCCGGGCGCTGCAAGGTGAAGCGTCACATTGATGCCATAGCCACAATTCTTTCTTAGGTAGACAAGCAAGCACCGTCGATTCTTAACTGGAGTTGCTAGGCATAAAGCTGTCAGCAACTACAGAAGCTTGATCGTTGTCACCGACTACGTGGTATAAACTCTGAACAACTGTGCTCATATCCCTTTTGTCAAAGGCCGAACCACCGACCCGCAGATGTTGCTCCGTGTACTAGAGTAAGAGAGTCCTGCCCTTTTACTAATTATTTGGCAGCGCGACTCACGGATATGATCAAATAATTCGAGACACAACTTAGAACTGACGCATCATTGTGCATACTTAGGGGTGGCAGTCAGGTGCGCAGCGGGCTTGGTGCATCCGATCTAGTCCTGGCAGAATGCATATGGCTCTGGTGCGCCCGGAATCTGCATTATGCCAGCGAGACGGTCCGGTCGAGATTTGATGACAGTTGTGCATATGCATGCATGCCTAGGTGCATTGTTGTGCGCGCCACATGATGTATGCCGGCCGCGTGAGCTAGATTAATAGAATGGTCTAGCTCTGCTGGCACCCATTGGACGGCGCCGCGCCGCGTGAGCTAGTTTAATAAAATGGTCTCTAGGCACCCCTTGGATGGCGCTGGGCGGCCGGTCACTTGCATGGCGCCACGAACACCGCTATATATAATATTCACATCATCGGATCATTCTGCCTAGGCAACGTCGGAAATTTTACGAGCTCACGACTAAGTTCCATGATGAAATGGAGATCTGCCATGCAACGGAAGTTAAGGATTGACGAGCCTCATGCACGCCGTGACGACATATAAGCAAGCACCATGAGCTTGCTATAAACAGGCAGTAATTGCTTTTAGCTAGTGTGTCTCAATAATCAGTTCGAATCAATGATTCAATGCTTTTAGCTAGTGTCACTGTCAAGTTTGCAAACATGAGCAGCCCGGCCGTGGTGCAAATGGGGGCCGCTGCCAGGCTGACATTTAAAAACGCGACTCGATTATGCGAAAACTGTGTGTATTTCTTGTCAAGTGCGAACCACCCACGCAGTTCATAAGAAGGTCAATGCCAAAAATGAGTATGGCAATAGAGTATATGTATTTCTTTTCACAGACTGAAAAGGTGTTGTTGGGTACGGTTGCTAGCTCGGTTTGAAAATCGACTTCGTCGACCCTGCCAGACCTTCATCCAGTCAAAGTGACTCTATTGACAAGCAGACAAGTACGCGCAATGTTCCCATTTATCCTTAATAAGCCATTGACCGGGGCGGGCCCCTTTTCCAGTAGGTCCGCCAGACCCGCCCGTACTTGAAGAACCCTATGTTGGGATTCGAACGGAGACCCCCACTAACCGGATATCGCGGCATCCTATACGGAACATTCTCGACACTTAACTGCCCATTTACTGCACCATTGTCCTTCTTACTCTCAGCCTTTCCGCTTCTGCCGCTTCCCCTTGCTCCATCTTCAGAGTCTAGAGCCGGCTCGTCCTCATCCGACGTCATCAGGTCGATGTCGATCTTCCGCTCCGACGCCGTTCCCTTTCTCCCCCGCTTCTTCGGCGCCGGCACCCCCGCTCGTACATCCACGGCGCCGGGGGCGACTTTCGCAGCCTTCGGAACCCCCTGCCGCAGATTCGCGGCTCTCTCGCCCCTTCGGAACACCGCAGGCTCCGGAATGCCATCGAAAACCGTCGTCACTTCCGTTGCCACGTCGTCGCCAACCGTTACCGCGCCCTCTTCCTCCCCCCCTCTTGCTTTCTTCTTCTTCGCACCCTCCTCTTCTGCTTCCGCCCCCCTCTTCCTTCCGTTTCCTCCAGCGGAATCCGTCTGGATCGTCTCCCGCAAAGTCGTGATCATGCGCTGCTGAGTGGAGATTGTGCGCTGCAGCGTCGCGATTGTGGCGTGGGCCTTGTTAGCCGACGTGTGGGCCTCCGCAATCCTGCCTTCCAGCCTGTCCCGCAGGGACTCGTACCTCTCCAGGGCCTCTTGCTCGAATTTTGCGACTGCCGCCTTCCACGCCGATTCGTACGCCTTCACCTTTAGCCTGCAGTTGTCAGAGTCACTACGTTCAATGTATGATATTCCTGGACACGGGATGATCCAAACGCTTCTTATCTGTTAAAAGACGGCCTTTGCGTGAGTTGCGATCTGATCAGGTATCTTGATTATCTCGTATCACGCACGCACAAGAGTTGCCAGCTCGTATTTACAAGGGCCGTGGATCGAACCTTGATCTACACGGTGTACTATCGAGCGATTCAACACGAGAGGACGATCAATGGCAAGACGTCGTTCTTTCAAACGGTCGACAGACGTGGCCTGCTCGAAAAGAAGGGAAGGAAAAGCTCGACATGTGAGCACCTTGGAACTGCCCTTAGAACTAGTTAGCTATAAAAGTTTCACTCAAACGTCGACAAGTTACAAAATGTCGACCTTGGCCGCACGTCTTGGGAGACTCTTGGATTACGCCACACGTTCAAGACCAACAGCACAGCTACGCTACGAATTCTCGAACTTCAGCAAGATCTGCGAATCTAGCAAGCAGACCAACCGAACACCGTCATTCGTAATCACTCACTCTCTCTGTTGGTCGACCTCCCGTTGCAGCGCCTGCTTTGCCGCTTCCGCTTCCGCTCTCAGCTCCTCCAGTTCCGCCCGGAGGCCGGCAGACTCTTCCTCCGCCTCGTTCTTCTCCCGCTCTAGTTGCCTCTTTCCCGCCTCCACTTCCCTATTCCCCGCCTCTAGTTCTGCGTTCCTTTCTGCAAGCTCCAGTCTCTCCGCCTCAGACCGTTCCTTTTCCGCCTCTCTTTCCGCTTCCGTTTCCGCTCTGGCCGCCCTCAGCTCCGCCGTTTCCGCCGTTAGATTCTCCTTTTCCGCCTCTAACCTCCTGTTTCTCGCCTCTACTCGGGCTACATCCACTGTCAGGTTCTGCAAGTCTTCTTCCCGACTTGCCACGTACCTTTGAGCCGCTTGAACACGAGCTGCGTTCTCTATTGCGGCCCGCGATTGCAGCGACAGCCCATTAAGATCCTCGCGAGCGTCTGGATTATCCGTCCACAGAGCACTGCATAAGGGGGAAAGAGCTGGTGAACGATAGATAAGAGTAGGCAGAGTGGGTTTGGCCCACTCCCGACGTTTGCTAAGCCCAATGAGCTTGGGTCGGCTCGTAGCTCTCGTAGAAGAGGCGACCTGAATCTTGACAGCAGATCCAGTATGCATCGCATTGACAATGTCCTTTGGCCTATCATCGAGTGCAAGAGACAGGGACCTGAGAATGACCTCGTATGCCGCGAGACTGAACCAATAGAAACGACCGCCGCAGGCCGTTGGAGACACCCAAACCCCCTTGCTAAGCAAGGTTTTCACGCAAAGGCGGCTGTTGCTACCGACATCAAACTCTCAACGCACCTTTCTGGGGCGGTCGCATCCGCTCCGCTCGCCAGCTGGCGGTCCCCCCCGCCAGAGCGCTGCTCGAACTGCCCCTCTGCTTCGGCAGGCAGCCC